AAAACGATATATTTATTTTTTAACTTATTTCTTAATCACAACTGTCAGAGTATAATAGTGAAATCAGCTATTTTAATCAAAAAATGAAAAGTTATGATATATCAGGCGCAAGGATTGATGGTATCTGATGACTAGGTTTCCATCACGCAGCTCGTTTTCAGTTGCTTATAATAATGATAATGAATATCTCAGTTGTAGCCTTATTATCAGTTTCTCTGAAATTCCGTCAAGTTCATTATACCAGCTACAGATAAATATTAAATCGTGAAAAGTTTGTTAAAATATATTTGAAAATAAAATTAAATATTTGTAATTTTAAAACTTTTACACAAAAAAAAATTAAACTGCGTATTATTCAAAAAATTATTAATTTTTTTTTTATACTTTATTTCTCCACTGAATTATCTTTTTTAATGGAGCGACAGACACATAAAGCAGTCGTTGGCCTGCTCAATTTTTTTTGCCACAAAAAGCCAGCGTGGTATGGGTCTTGTGCCACCTGGCGTGTTCTTGTATGCTTATAGAGGACACCTGAAGTCTTCCATCTTGGTGACGTGTCCAATCCATTTCAGTCTCTGCGATCTGGGGAAGTTGGAGATACTCAAATCCTGGCATTCATCATACAACTCCGAATTTCAATCCGAGTTTTATTCAAAAATGTAATAATTATTTTTATAAACTTTATTTCTCCACTCATACCTGTCAGAAGTATTGACAACCAACGGGCTTAATGTTGGGACGTAAGACATTAATAGGTCTGAGGAAGAGAAGTGTTCAGTGGCATCCCTTTGCGTCTTGATTTAAATAATTACAAATATGCGAGATCTCTTTTATTACTACCCGGAATATTATGATTGAAAATTATGTAACTTACTTATGTGGTTCTTTTTGACTGTCACGTATATCTGTGAAGCGTAGATCCAAATGTGCTTAAGTAAGTAAGTTTATGAATTCAATTACTGACTTTGTTTTAAGTTTTAACGTCTTGAAAGGTATGAATATAATATTCGAACCCTTAGATAAAGTTTTCTTATATGTGGACCCAATGTCAATCTTCTGTCCAATGTTAGTGCAAGATACTGAACTTTAGCAGTCTGAGAAATTTGGACATTGTCGAGGTAAATAGGAGGCCAAGTTTTACGTCGATAAGTAAAAGTAATATATTGTGATTTGTCTTGATTGAGTCGAGTTTTCCATAGTTTGAACCAGCCATGATATTTCATTAGGTGATATTGTAGAGTCTGTGAGGCGCGTATTAGATTTGTATATCTTTTTGATTTTGATATATTTCGAAACCGTATGGAATATCATTTGCATAAATGATAGCGAGTGAGGCAAAATTTTAACAGTATATGAAAATTTTAGTATGATAACTCAAAAAATTGAATTATATCATCTCAAATCGTTAGAGATATTACAATTTTATACTTATGTTTAGAATAAAAAGGTATATATATATATATATATATATATATATATATATATATATATATATATTTTGTGATGCATATGTATGGGTATATTAGCCAATATGCCAATTCGTATTTGATACCCATCAATTCAAATGCTTAATAGTTTGTATTATTAGAAGTGATAAGGTTATATAAGCCGTAAATAATTTTTGCTCTATGAGTTAGTGTAAGGATAGTAGGAATTGTAGTAGAGAGGGGAATATTGTTTTTGATTACTGTTGCCCAAAATCGGTCTTAGTCTTGCAAAGTGCCAAGGCCGCCTAACTGTTGCAAGACCAAGACCAGGACTGGTAGGTATAATAGTTACTAATATTTGACAATCTTAGTTACTATACGTTAATAATTGGTAAAACCAATATACTTTTGAATTTAAATCCTCTGATTTTTCATTCGGGCTTAGTTAGGTTTCTCCTATCTAAAGAATTAAAGTAATATCTCTATAGCAATAAGCTAATAAGTAACTGCAAGACTGTTGCAAGACTCTTGCGCAAGACCAAGACCATGTCCAAGACTAAGTGTGCAAGACCAAGATTCGTCTCGGTCTCGCATTTGAGCAACACTATTTTTGATGGGGAAATGGTAGGAAGAATCACGGTCTGTGGATGTATTTGGACAGGAAAGAAGAACATGATTTTCATCGGCTAATGAGGAATTGTCGCAGGAGCAATAAGGAAAGTCCAAGGTGTTTATTATAAAGAGATGGGATGGTAGGCTATTGTGGTTGAGGCGAAGGCGTGATATGGAAGTTTTTTTTCTTTTTTTTTTTTTGTCAGTAAAATATTTTAATTCTCATAGTAAGATCAAATTACACTGAATATTTATTAATTATTTATAGATAGATGATCACTGAATGTAACTAAATATTTAATTTAACTTATATAGCACTTAAACTAGAAAGACTAATAGTTAAAAACTGAGATGACAGTAGTTTCATAACAATTAAATGAGAATAAGAGGCGACCTTTATTATATAACTGCTTTTATGCCATTCAAAAACTTTATCAAGTCACGGGCGTTATCTTTATTCATCGACCGAAGAAAGGTAGCTCCATCATCCATAGTTTGGATATGGAAGTTAGAAATTTTCTAGAACCTTTATAGGGTCGGGACAAAGGGAATCGTGGGATTTCAGATTGGAGAGCTTTACAATAACACCCTTTAACGGTGGCAGAGTACTCGTTTTGCCATTTTATGTTGCCAGTATCTATTTAAGTGAGCCTTCGTATCTCTCGCTGATACATGCAGTCGACGATTACCGGTAAAAGCCACTACTCTTGCAAGCTTGTCCACCTTGTCGTTAAATTCATTACCACTACATTACCCTCTTATCCAAATAATATGCCCACTTATGTTCCTATTATCAAACTGGCTTAGTAAATTAAATATTTCATATATAATAGCATACGAGGAGTTGTGAGCATTCTTGATAGAGGTAACCACACTTCGGCTATCAGAGAAAATAATCAGGCGAGAAGGTTCAGCAGCTAGGGCATACTTTAGAGCCTCTATATTGCTATATCCTCGGCGGTAAATATGGAAGCTACCCCCGGTAGCTTAAACGACTCTGAGGTATCTTCTAATGGATTAATTAAAGCTGAACCAACTTCAAATCCTTGCTTTGGATTTGAATTTGGAATTTGGAATTAAATTTGGACCGATTTAATACTTTATTGGGATCTGAAATAGCAAAATTATAAGAAAAACAGTAGTAAGGAATCTTGGATGGGAAGGAAATAAAGGAATAGAAAGGTTCAAAAAAGCAAGTCTTGTATAATTGCTGACTAATAGAAGTTATTTTCGCTGAAAAAAAAGGTATCATCGATCCGGATTTACGTAAAACGCCCCAAATTCTAGTAACAGACATAAGTAACTTTATTTAGAGAACAAAAATATGTTACATGAAAAAATAATATGTTTAAGAGTCACTGACATTAAAATTTCTAACGGCACCGACGGAATCGAGCATAGGTTAGCAATGAGGCAATGATTTGTTTTCCATCAGCAGCTGCTATTCATAAATTATAATAAATCAGGATTCAATATTCCATGTTGGTAAGTGAGGTGCCTTCCTCGCTGCAAGGAAGTTTATAACGAAAAATACGACTGACTTTCTCCAGAATCGCTTGATCTCTTGGAAATAATTTCATCTGTTAAATATTAATTAAAAGCTACAAGAAAGACATTAGAAATTAGTCTGAAAAGGAAATCGATTGTGAATCATCACTTTGGGATGTCGGAGTAGAGTGAGTCATTCATGATTTATAATCAAGTCAATCTTCTTCTATAATAAGTAGAATAAAACTTGTCTTCAAACAGAATAAAACGAGTCTTCTTCTATAATAACTAGAATAAAACTTCTAGAAATTGTTTCTCATTGGTAGGTTCTACGACATCCCCGAGACTTTTATGAGAACCATCCGAGTTATATATTTCATCTAATCTTTTAGTTAAAAGACTTGATGTTATGTCAAATGTTTATAATGGTCCAACGGCGGATACAGAATTTAATTTTAGAATGATAACACTGGCAACCGGGTATAAAGATACCTGATAACAACATTCAGTGATAGAAATAAAATTCAATTGAAAGCATATATAACCATTTGCGTTAAGGACTTAAACAGAGAAAAAATAGTTATTATTTAAGGCTTGGGCGGATCTATCATGAAGAAAGGTAATAATATATTTAAAATCCATTCTACAATACAGAGTAGTCGCGTGATTTACTGGCGCCTGGGGTGAACATTTACGAGGGATCCCTAGTACTCTGCTGAATGGACCATTAACTCATTTTCTCATGTTTGCGAGTCATACCAAAACAAATCTTTGCTCTTCCACCATAGCCGAAAAATTTCAAATCTTTAATCAGCTTGTAATTTTTCTTAGCTTAGAATAGTAATTTCTAATTGACAACTTGTTGTACATGAAGGTTTGAACAAAGACGAAAAGGTAATAAATCAAGAAGTAGAATGGAGATAGAAAAGCATTTTTTTTTCATTTCTCTTTTATATTTTTATCTCCGATACATCCTACCCGACAATATACTATAATTCTAGTTTTATTAACGGTAATTATAACTGCCGTATCAATCTTCAACAATCATTAATTAAATAAGCAAAAATACTAACAGCCTAGGTCTTTACCTAGTTGTATATGTAGATTTAAAACTGATAATAACAATAATAAGCTTTGATTCGTAAAATTTTTCAATTTTTGGAGGTACTGAAGAAGGAAGAGGACCTAAAACGAAGATGGTAAAGGGATTTATCTTCCCAGAGCGCTGGTGATATCGGAAATCGGGGTCTGGCAATACATTTCCAGATGAATGGTTCATTATAATATTTCTAAATATGATCAATAAAATTTAAAATTTAATTAATAGTTTTGGGATGTATTTTGTATTTGAATTTTCCAAGGCAATATTGTTATTGAATAATCGCAACTGAGGTTGGCTGCCCTGAAACAATGGCCCATTCCTTAAATAGGAAGCGTCGTATGTGCCATATTGAATTAAACAATGACAGAGACGAAACTAGTGGGTCAATGAAGCTTCAACTCTCACTTGGCCATTGGTAATCAAGCTGTTCGTTCGCGCTGGAGAAGTTGATATTCAAGGATGGTCAGGGAGGAAGAGACACAGAAGGACTCTGCCTTCAAGAGGTTCCTCAGGAGAGCCTACCAAGGGACTTATCATGTCCTTTACATGTTCAAGTAGGTGATCATAATAATAAAAGAAACGTTAAAATGAAATTCGTCAAATGTAAACTAGGAACTGTTGTTTCTACATTGAAAGTGAAAGCAACTAGGAAAATAAATCAATAGTGATGTGCAATATTTGTCTATTTATTTTATTTTAAAAAGAATACTATTAGCGCATTTTAGTTTAGCTATGAATGCATATGTGACATATATTTAAGAGCGTATCAAATATCTTTGAAATTACATAGCTAAAGAATCCATAATAAATTGATTTTAAAATATTAAAAGATTACAGTTTTTATTTTATACTAGATTAACTTGTGTATGAAATAATACTGAAATACTTTCATATATTCAAGGGCGAAAAATAGAATATTATAAGGAATTTAATCGCTTTAGGCCCTTTCAATTTCTTATTAGTCTTATAGTTGGAATCGTCCCTTAATAACTATATTTGTGACCAACTTTATCATTCTGAAAAATTGAAGTACGTTATGAAAATATTTTTAAACTGATTTGTTCTATTACCGACAAGAAACATACTACTATATTTGTGTAATTTTCTTGAAGAGTAAGGGAGCACCATTACTTCTTACCAAAATAGTCAGAACTTTATAAACTACTATAAAAAATAGAAGATTATCTAATAATCCTGATCTAATAATATGCAAGTATCATTAAGTTACTTTTGGAATAAAACAAAATGATTACACACTTATATATATATATATATGTACATTCATATCAAATGTAAAACCATTTTAAAGTAACATTGCTACTACTTTCATCAATAAAATTATTGATGAAAGTAGTAGCAATTGATGAAATGGTCGAGAAAAGTAGACTCTTCTGGTAATCTGCCAAAAATCATTCCCACTCTTGTCCAAAGCCTTTTCTTCCTGCTTGCACAATAATGAGGTTAAAAATAAAAACTGTAACAATGTCCTTATGCTGTACTTTATTTATATTAAACTGGCTATAATTTACACTCCATAGTTTTCTTTAGTTTTTTTCTTTCACTGTTAACTTCTATGAGACAATCAATTCACAGTTAAATGAAAATTAAATAAACCGCTTTACAGTTAAACTTAAGTACTTAAATTCAAATTTATAACAATATATTAAATTCTGCAGGATTTGTATTTCTAATTTAAAAAATTATATATATAGTTTTAACTGGTATGTCTTCGAATTCAACATGGAATTATTATGCAACAGTTTTTCTAACTTTTAAAAACTAAAATAAAAACCAGCCTGATTAATCTGATTTAAATACCAAATTCATCTTACTTGTCTCCAACTGACTTCTATCTTTTAAGAGCACTCAAATCATTAACAAAATTTTCATTTCTCGAGTTTATCGGTTCAAGATCAAAAAATTCCTTTGAACAAGAGATAAAAAATTGTATATGGCATAAGGAACAATGTATTATAGTTAAAGGAAATTATTTTAAATAAAACAATATCATTAATGATTGTTTTTGTTTATAAATTTCCTCATACAACAGAAACTGACTTTTTCTATATCCTATTACAATAAATCTTGTAAATTCAATTTCTTACATTTTTCCAATACAAAAAATTTTTAAAATCCTCATTATTAATAAGCAATAATTTTTGGATTATTGGCTGGGCACTGAAATTCTCCACAAGCCATGATATTTCAGACCATTCCCAGAAAAGACTGGACACACCAACTTGCCTTAGCCATTAAAGATAAATGGAATTATGAAAGGGATTTCAGTTCGGAAGAACTTAGAGAAATAAAGAAAAAGTTTATCAGATAGAAAACTTGATACCGAAAATCAAGATGGGAAGCAGTTATACTTTTTCTCTTAGGAATCAGACACTGGGTTTTCTCCTGTGAGGAACCAAAGATTCAACTAGCAACCAAGGCAGAGTAAACAGAACTGAGAATCACATACTATTAGAATGTAGTAGCTACACTTCTCTAAGAGAAAACATAAAAAGGAGAAAAACAATGGAAGAAACCGTCCAGGATGAAAAAAAAGAAATAGAAAACTAATTAAATATTTAAAAAATGTTATACGCTATATAGAATTGATAAATAAATTATTGAATTGATTAAAATTATTGACAATGAAAATTAATGGCCTTTTTTCTATAGTCCTAATTCACAGTCTGTTTGGTATAACTGAAGCCAATGATGGTTTGATATTTTTTATTGAAAATGAAAAGATAATTATATTTTAAGAATGTTATATTTTCAACATAAATTGTTTTCATATAATTTTGTTACTTGTAGACATATTAAATTTGTCATTTACAATATAATAACTGGTGTATAAATTTTGTTGCAGGGAGATGTGGCTATTTTTACTGCTGTTGGTGGGTCTCGCCGTTGCATTCCGAAGAGATGCAGTCGAGTCACCACCTGCAGTTTTGTCCAAGCTGTACGAGTACAAACCTTTTGGCGTTGAACATATAGATCTCAGAGATTCAGTAGAAAAGGTGCCAACGCAAAGGGAAAGGTAAAGTATTCAAATACAATTAGCAAGTTTTATTTTTTTTAAAATTGAGTTGAATAAGTTAGATAAGATAATAAATAAACTAAAAGGAAGGTGTATTATAGTTTGTTGTTAGTATAGTTTGTATTGCGACTTTATACAAGTGTGCCAAGAAAAATCCACTACAGTATCCTATAGTCAAGACAAATTTATAAGTTCTAAAGTAAAGTTGAAACATTATATTATGTATTGATGACTCTAGTAGGCATGTGAGGTATACAATACCAAACAAAACAATCATCCCAGATTCATTTCAAACCAAACACTAGACATTCCTTGCATAAAATTTATAATCTATTTTAAATAACTATTTGTAATAAAAACGACACTTATTTCAATTTATAATAATATTATAAGAGCGCTACCAGTGGCTAATTTCTCAACAAGTGTTTTCAGGTTATTATATTCTTGTGTTCAAATTTACTGAATGTATTTTTATTTTTAATACAGTTTTAAATATCATGAATAAAAAATTAATAAACAAATAAAATATTAATACTGCTATAATGATTTATTAAATAATGTCTCAATATTCAATGTTATAGAATGCAGGAATCTTTACCTCTACGATCAGCGGTTGAAAAGAGGCCAACACCATACTTCCGAGGGCCATGGTGGAAAATTGTCCCTGGAACCAAACAATTAGGTTGGTAACTTTGGAAAAACATTTTGTCATAAAAATTCTATATAATGTTACTAAATGATCATCAGAAATCACTATCTCAATTTCCTTCTTATTGAATGAATAAAAAAAAAAAATAATATATTATTGTTTTAATAGCTAAAGATACTGTTCTTCCTTTATTATGAGCGGCCATGTTTCAAATTCAAAAAGAGCAATAGAAAGTATAATAGTTAAAAATGTATTGTTTTTGTTTTCTTTAAATTTAAAGTGTATTGGTATTTTTGAAAATGTATAAAATAGTTCTTTATGACTAATATAAGGGAATTTAACCAAATCTAATTAAGTTCAAAGTTAACAATTATTAGAATAAGCTTGTATATGTATATAGGTCAAAAGATAATTGGGCAGTCTATTAATTCTTTATTTTATTTATTTCTTAAGTAATGTAATACTAAGATATTGTAACATTGTTCACAATGGATGTATTTAAACATTGAAAAATGAATGATTAGTTATATTTAATAGAATTATTTATTTTTAATAGAATTACAGAGAAAATTTAAGTTGAACTCGTGGTGAACAAAAATATATTTTTACTTGTATTCAGATCAGAGTGGAAGGAGATTGTTCTGTTTTGTTGAGTCATGGTCATCCTACAGAAGAGCTCCAGTAGGGTTCACTGCAGACAACATAGACCCATACGCCTGCACCCATGTTATCTATGCTTTTGCATCTGTAGACCCTCTTACATCTAAGCTTTTACCATTGGATGAAGAATACGATGTTGTTAAAGGTATTTACATCTCTTGGTTTGATCCTCAATTTTGAATATTTTAATTTCTTGTTTCAATACATTTTTAATATAAAAATAAATATTACATCACAGGAGGATATAGATCAATTGTTGGTCTGAAAAGAGTTAATTCCAATTTGAAAGTGATGATATCTGTGGCTGGGCGATTATCAAAAATGACCTCTTCCGCTTCTAGTAGAAGAAATTTTATTTTATCAACTGTCAAATTTATGGCTGAGAATGGATTCGATGGATTAGATCTTCATTGGGAATATCCTGGTATGTAAAAATTAACTATATAAAGAAAAAATGTTATAATTAGTATTATTGATTTTTTTTAGAAATAACTAGAAAGTGAGCTTTTTGGCAACTTGGCAACTGACAAAATGTATAATTAGATAGCTTCAATAAAATTTATTACTTTTATTTTATTTTTAATATTTCAAACATATTTTGTTTTCCATGAATAGTGTTCCCTCATTACAACAACTTCAGCATTGCTATAATAATTATTATAAATTTAACATTTGATAGTAGACTAAAACTAAGATTATATAGAATAACAAAATTTGGAAAAAAATTATACACTCTGTTATAAACCGTTAGTAGGACCAGGCACACAAGTTCTGGTATACCGGTGAAGCTTACCTGTAAAGGTGAACTGGAGCGTGTGCACCAGCCACAGTAGGCCAAACTGCACAGGCTTCACAACCTGTGTAGGTAACCGTTGTTAGGATAATTAGTACAGTTTTCAATCAAGTAAAGCGATCTCGTCATCTTCGTGTTTGCTCACAATCTCTCGACTCAGTTAAAATCTTCCGGTTTACTGTAGCGTATATGTCTTGTTGGCTGCACAGGTATACCTTTCCGGTTTACCTGGCAGATTTACAGCAAAAAATTGTTTGGTTTCTCTAATACAAAACAAAAATTTTTAATGATTATGAATTATTTGTTCTATGAAAACTAATATAAAAAATAAATGTTGATTATAAAATAACAGGAGCAGAAGACCTAGGAGGGTCAAGATCTGATAAAGACAACCTCTCCCTGCTTGTGGAAGAACTATCAGGAGTGATGGAGTCAAGAGGTTGGCTTTTGTCAGCTTCTTTTCCTCCCTCAAGGTTCAGGTTAGACGATGGTTACGACATTCCGAGGATAGCACCCTACCTTCATTTTGTTCTGCTTAAGAGCTTTGATTACCATCAAGAAAGAGAAGGATCAGCAAATCATCCTTCTCCATTGGTTATGTCCAGCCAAGAAGATCCTCTCTCAGTTTATTACAATGTAGTAAGTAAACATTATTTTTCTGAGATTGATTCTTATAAATTTTTCTCTTAAATGTAACATTTTTTATTAATTACTAGATTTTTAGTCAAAATTTATAATTTGTTAGGAGCTCATAATAGCATTAGTAAAGATGATATTGGCAAAAATACAAGAAATATTATTTAACTGTGCATTCAAGTGAAATTTGACAATAATCATTGGGAATTTGGAAAGGTCTTTGGAATATAACCAATATACTTATATAAAAATATATTCAAAGCTGTAAATATTATACAGGAGTAAGTTTACTATTCTTAAACTGTCACAATGTTGTTGCAAAACTCAACTAATAAAATTAAAAAACAGGAAAAAAAAGTCAAAAGAAAATAAATTTAAAAAATAGATAAAATAAGCATATTTTATTTGATATACATTGAAATTGTTCCTAATATTTTTCTGCAATGTTTAAAAAATTAATTAATATGTATATTTGTTCATTTTTCAAGTTGAAAAAGAAAATTACTTCTCACAAAAATAATTGACAGTAAGGTATAGATAAATATCTGGTTGTGACACATTAAATGTAATTTTGTTGGTAATATAATAATACAAGAAATAAATGGTATCTAATTTCCATAGTTCCTCAAAATATGCATTGTAGAACTTTTCCAAATTAACATTTTTTTTTTATTCTCTATACTTAAAAGATCAATATTAAAAATTAAATTCCTCTTGTAAGGCATTTTTGGTCATATAACTCATTTTAGAATGATTTTCTTTTTTTAATATAGTCCAAACTCTTTTAGATACCAATGAACTTATATTTTTGAAATTAGAAGGTTTGCCATGGCCATTCTGGAAGTGGATAATTATTAATCATTTCAAAGGGGAATTAGACTAAAATCATAGATTAGAATTATTGTCCTCCACTGATTATTGGTTCCTAATTTCATGTGATGCAAACAGATAATGTGATGTATAAGAATGCTATATAAATTATAGAAAAAGTTAAAACAGATTTTTCAATTGTTTCTTTAATTTAATTCACTGTTATTTTATTATAGGATTACTCAGTAAGATACTACCTCAAAAGGGGAGTTAGGAGAAATCAGCTGATAATTGGCGTTCCATTTTTTGCCAGGTCATATACTCTGAAAGATGCTAACAACTGGATGCCAGGTTCCCCAGTGAAGTCTCCAGGAAAAGAAGCGAGGTGATTTCAGAATATTTTATTCCTACAGCAGAAATCCATTTAACTAGATCCACCATATCCAAAACTTAGTAATCCAGATTTTTTTTCCTGTAGTAACTTTTGTTTTTGTTTACTATAACCAGAAATAAAATTACCTATCTATTATATAAAAAAGTGTTTTGTAACCTTGTCATATTTTACTTTACATTTACAAAGCCGGACAGACCATAATGAAGACACTAGACTTCTTATTCCCAGAATTATTACTCCCAATATAACAACATAAATTGGCAAGAACGCGCGATGTATAATATAGATTTTTAAAGAAATAAAAAAATTTATCTGAACTGTAATTTCATTCCGTTTATTTTATATTGATAAAAAATAATACAAACTGAACTACAGAATACATGTAAATTACAGTTATACAATTTGAGAGCCGATCAGTACAATTAAATAAACAGTTGTATAATTTATAAAATGGTGGTTTGACTGCTCTTAGGTGGACAGAGGGTACCCTCCTAGTATTTCATACTTTTAATATAAAAGTCTTTTTTTTTAATTACAAGAAATATCTGGAATGCTCAAAATATGTACAGTAAAATTCTCCCAAATTAACAATATTATTTAATTCTGTATATTCGTCACTCATATTTAAAGCAAATTAGATTTATTTGTTTATTTCCCTTCTCTCCTTTCTGATTTTTTTCTAATAAATATCACCCATTTTTGGCAATGTCAAAACTTATCCTCTCAAATGTAATTACAGGTTTACACAGCAGCCTGGTTTCATGGCTTATTACGAAGTATGCAATCAACTCAGAAAGAAAGGCTGGGTACAACATCGTGATTCCAACACTGGTTCAGCTTTTATGGTGAAAGATGATCAATGGGTCGGGTTTGAAGATCCTTACAGCATCAGGTTAAAAGTAAGCCCCAGGTCCCTTAAAAAATCTTTTATATGTTGTTAATAATTTTTTAATCAATACGTCTGATCATCAGATGACTTACATGCAAAGAGAAAGGCTCGGAGGTGCCATGGTGTGGGCTCTTGATTTAGATGATTTTAAGGGACTGTGTGGTCCTAAATATCCTCTTTTGAACACTGTTAGAGTTGCATTGACGCCAGAAATACCAGGTATGTAAGCTTGAGAAAGATAGCATTTTATTGGGCAGGGCAATGGTTTGATAAAATTTTTAAATCAACATTACTATCTATAAAGAATCATATAAATATATTTCTTATCAATTTTAAATGTCATGGCTGACACTTTTGATTCAGAATTGTTTTTTCTATTTCTCAGCTTAGTGACTAAATATTTATAGTTCATAGCCACAGGTCATATTAATCTATATATATTTACATAATTTGTGTTATATCTGTATGCAGTTTAACTATACTTGTCTAGTCAATACCTCTGATCTGGTGGTTTTTATGAGGAAATTTAAGAAAAGATTAGCTGAGGCAGAATTTATGGGAAAGAGGATTTCTTTCTTACTTTAGCACAATTTGATATATAATATTAATAAGGATAATGTCAAAATTATAAGTGCAAGTTAATAACAGGAAACATATATTTATATAGTAAAATTTAGACTAATTATATTCATTTAATTTATTTGTTGAATAGTTTTTTATAAGGGACTATAATAGTTGAAATTGTGATCCTAGCCATGCTATCTCCTGGGGTAGGCGTTACTGTGCTTGCAACTCAGGACAACTGTACCGGGGAAGGCTATGCTGGTGAAGTTGGGGATTGTTCGGTCTATTACCGCTGTCAGTGGGCCCAGAAGCACACCTATATTTGTCCTCATGGTCTGTACTATGATCCACAACTCAACCTCTGCAACTGGCCAACCTTGGTCACGTGTCAAAAGAATTGTAAGAACGAATTCACCCTATATGAACTCAATTTTATTTTTTTTTCAAATGAATCGTTTGAAGACTAAATACTGTTTCAGTATTGATCAGTGCTGCGTCTTCAATCATTCTGGCTAAAAAAGGAAATGGACCAGTGCAGAAATTAAAAGGTAATTTAAATACTCCCAAAATAATATTGTTTAATATAATAAAATGTGGTAATATAATAAAAAAATAATATATAAATATCTCATTTCATTAATGCCATGTAAAGTAAAAAGCAGTCAGTATAACAGTCTTTATATTTCGAGAAATAACATTCAAAGTTTATGACCTCTAATTCAGTGCTACATTATTGAACAATAAACTCCACTCCATGAAATAAGTGGGGATTTTATTATGTCTACAAGACCTAAAACAGTATACTTGTGCCATTAAGTCATATTTTTTATATATAAAAAAGTACCTTTGTATTTAACCGACTCATTATATCCTAATATATTATGATATTAATGTAGTATAATAACGCTTATATCTAAAAGTTACACTTTGTCGATTCAATTTTTGTTCAATATTTGCGTATTTAAACCTGAGTTACTTTTAATTATTAAATTTATGATTTTATTAGAAGATGGACCGAGAGTCGTCTGCTATTTTACCAACTGGGCATGGTATAGAAAAGGAGAAGGAAAGTTCATTCCAGAGCATATCGAACCATCATTGTGTACACACATCATTTATGCTTTCGCTTCATTAGAACCTAACACGCTTGGAATTGTACCTTTTGATTCGTGGGCTGACATTGATAATGGTAAGGAAAGCTACCTTTTTTTAGAAAATATTCGGTTTATATGTTTTTTTTTAATAAAAAAGTTAAGAAGCATGAATGATAAAAATATATTACCTTAGTTTTATTATTATTTATTAAATATAATTTTATTATATTGAGTATAAATTAATTACTGACATAGTTTTATTTTATAAGAAAGGGTTAGTTATATTATATAAAATAATTACGTACTACATTTTGAAAGAAACTAATTTAGCAAAAATGAGATTCTCTATATGAAAGAAATTAAATTTAGAAGCACGGCCTTCCCTTCTGTTTTGAGCTACCTACACCCTTGTGGTTGATAGAAAACTTATGTATATATAAAAAAAAATACACTTGATAAATTCTAAAAAATTTAATATTAGCTGCAATAAAAAATAGTTTTCTGAAAAAATATTCAAAGTAGCAAATATGGACTGCATGAAAAAAAATGTAAGCATGAAAAATAACGAATAATGAAAAATACTTTTATGATGAAAATTAATTGTAATTACAAAATATTTTATTCATGTATTCCCACAAATGTTCAATAGATACTTTTTTTAATATAAATTTATCAATGATCTAGGAATGTATAAGCGAATAGTTCAGCTGAGAGAGAAAGGTCCAGCAATCATGCTTGCTCTTGGTGGATGGACTGACTCCATCGGAGAAAAATATTCTAAAATGGTCAGCTCTGGTTCTTCAAGAAGATCTTTCATTAATAGTGTGGTGGCTTTCTTGCGCAGGTATGAGTTTTCAGGCCTGAGTCTGGAATGGAATCACCCAGTCTGCTGGCAGTCAGACTGTTCCAAAGGCCCTGCATCTGATGCACAGAACTATGCCAAGCTTGCTCAGGTTGGTTCTCCAATTTTAGAAAGTTCAGTAATGAATTTATGATTTTATGGGGTAGTGGGGTATTAAAACAAAAGCAGTCGAGATCCAATGTTACTCTTATGAAGGATATAAGTGAATAGATCCAAGCCAAAGCATGCTCAAGCTCTCATTGGTCTGAACCAGTGTTGCCATTTTTTTTTTATATTAATTTATACATTAAAAATTATTTACATTAATAAAATAGACTTCTCACTTAAACAATTCAAAAAGAATAAATAAATAGTAAAGTAATTTTCCACAATATAACACACTGTAAACAACCTAAATAAATAACTAGATCTAATGAACTTGAAAGTCTGAAGCCAATAAAAAAAACTATGTTTTCTCCCTGCAGTTCATACCTCAAAATCTGATTTTCCAAGGTCAGACCCTAATGGAATCTCCTCATGTAAATAAATAGTCATCCCGGGTCAGCCTCCATCTAATACACATTCCCTCTTCTGTGGTGTCCCTCAGTGTTGCCTCTATATCCCACTCTGTTTATTGTTCATATTAACAACTTAACCCTCCTGATCTATCGCTCCGAATATCATAACTATGCTGATGATTTCCAAATATACCTATCCTTCCCACCATCTGATCTATTTACAGCCACAAAAAACTTTAAAAAGACTTGAATAGAAGCTGTAACTAGGCAGTATCTAACTAATTCATATTGAATGCGAAGAAGACAAAGATAACTGCTATTGGCTCCAACTACCTCCTTAAATCTATTCCTATTATTCGAACCATGTACATAAATGATAATCTCATAAAATTTTATCCTTCCACCAAAAAGCTCTGAATAAATTTTGATCAAATTATTTATTTAAAAAACCATGTATTTAACATATCCTGTAGAATCTTTTTTACCTTAACCGACTAAATTACCTCTATCACCTTCCATTAGAAACCTGTAGGCTTCTTGTCGCTTCCTCAATATTTCTCCAATTCGGCTACTGTTGTATGGTAAATGAGAAGCATCTCTGAGGATATCGGGGCAAAATTAAAACTCTTGATAAATTGTTTTATAAGATTCATCTTTAGAATTGCTGGGGGTGCTTCTGTCATTTTTATGAAGAGTTAAAATTGTTTTATCCTCCTTACCCTTGCACATATTTCCTAGAATCATTTCACTTCCAAGTCACCCAAAACCCTCCACCCCTTATATATCTCTGAGCTCCTTCAATTCAAATCCTCTGTTCACCCACGCAATACTGTTCTCGATCTTGAGATTTATATATAGAGGTACAATGAACCGTGGCTTTCAATAGATCTTTCATTATTCAATTCACGTTCCTATGGAATTTCATCACTTCCTACAAGTTTCAATAACCTCTCCACCTCTAAATTCCACCTATTTAATTACTTCCTATCCATCCAGTTCCCGAAAAATTGTAAATAGGTGTTTCTGTAAATATGTTCACAAATGATTTGTTTGTTTTTAATTATTATTTAACATTTCTTTAACATTTCTTTAACATTTTTTAATGAAAGAAGTTAACTAATAATTCATTATTATTCCTATTTGCTAATTTTATTAACATTTTTTATTTATATCTGAGACTCTGAAGCCCACAATTATGCTACTATACTTTATTCTTAAGGAACTTGTTCCAGAATAAATAAAGAATATTATTATTATTATGTTTCTTTTTGGATATTATTTCTAACATGGTTTAATTTATTTGTATATGAAAACTCTATTTAATTTTCATACCATGGGAGATAGTTTTTCTTTATTACATTTGAAAATAATGCTTCTCTAAAAGCAACAACTACATCTGCTAGTAAGTAATATAGCAACATAAAAGTATGCCAGAAGTCTTTACATTATATATAGAATAAACATAAGAAACAAACAGAGCATATAATATAAATATAAGCATAGCAAATCAGCCTACCATACCAGTAAATGAAGATAAAAAAAGTATACAATAATCAGCCAAAAATTCAACTCCCAATATGGGAACTGAATAGAAGGGAAATCATTCCCAAGAGTAGACTAATTCAATAGCCTCTATGAATGATCAATGGTCAGAAATATACCAGTATATTACAAGTACAAACAGAGCCTTTTCTCTCTTTTAAGGGTATTGAAATCCTTAAAAATCTCTACAAATATCAAATTAAAATTAAGATTTTACAATGCTGTGATAATGCCTGTTCTAAAATACAGCTGTGAGACTTCACCATTAACCAGCACCCTACAAAGAAAAGTTGAAAAATTGGAAAGAAAAATCCTCAAGCGCAAAAGAACTGCTAAAAGAAACTGGTCAATCAATATTTCGTGATATGAAGGTAAGGAAGTTAAGATTGGTAAGGTATGTAACATGGACCAATTCATCAGGAAGCTACTACACAACAATAAATGCCTCAATAGTGGCATAAGAGATCATATGAAAGGCCAAAAACCATATGGATGGATAAAATCAACAAAGATTCTGCACAGATGCATGCAGATAGCAAGAAAGAAATAACCCAAGATATACAGAGGTAGAAAAGGCTGATTAAGACGCAACAAGATCTACACGTTTGTAAAGTAAACAGAAAAAAAAATAAAATAAATTTAGTTTAACATTATTTCGAACTTAATTTCTAATTTTTCTTTGTTTAAATGAAACTCTCAGCAGTCTGGAATATTTAATGATTCAACTTTTGGTCATGTATTTGTAAGATTATCGAGATTGAAGTGTATGCTTTAAAATCGAATAAATTATTAAAAATATGTGCCCCATAAAAATATATTATAAATCACTATGTATAATATAATATCTATCATTTGAAGCTTTATAATAGGTATCATATAATTAAATATGGTAAATATTCCCATCTTTTATTATTATAAGCTTGGGAGTATTTATTATTTTATAAATCTTTTTTTCTTTTTTTCTCAGGAAATAAGAGAGGCTTTTGACAAGGAAGATCCTCCACTTCTCCTTTCTGTCAGCTTAAGTGGTTATCCAGAAGTAATCAAGCAAAGCTACGATCTGTCCAGCCTTAGTAAATCAGTTGATTTCTTCACTGTTATGAGTTATGACTACCATGGTGCTTGGGAAGGGGTGACTGGTCACGTAGCTCCCATCAAGGGCCATCCGCCTCCAAAGTTCTCCTATTACAACATTGTTAGTACAAAAATATTTTAAAAAGTTATATTATTCTTATTTTAAGATTATGATTCTTATTTGTTAGGTATTATAATTAGAATTTATACGGTAATTCTCAGATATTATCTCATATGTTAGGAGAAATCATTAGAGCTGCTTATCAATGGTGGAGCAGAAAAATCAAAATTGGTTTTGGGAGTTCCAATGTATGGCCAGAGCTATACATTAGCTAACAGAAAGGATACAGGAATCAATAGCAAAACTAAAGGACCTGGTGACGCAGGAAAATGGACTGCTCAACCTGGGATGTTGGCTTATTATGAAATTTGTTACAAAAGTAAGAAAAAGAAAAAGTCTTATTTGATATAACATGTATATTTAATTGAATATGTATCCAGTTTTTTTATCCAATTCCTAATTCCATTGTTAGTAACCAATTTTTCAAACTAATTATTTTTAATTTCAGTTAGGAAGAATAGCTGGAGGAAGGAAACAACAGAATATGGGCCATATGCTTATTTAGGTGACCAGTGGGTCAGTTTTGATGATGAAAAATCTATTGCTGAAAAGGTATAAATGAATGTGAACATGTATTTTAATTGTATAAAATTCTTAGTGAATTAAAACATTAAAAAATCACTCAAGAACTAGGTTCAATAAAATATATTAGATAGTCAAATGTTTGATTAACTATCAGAGTATTCAAAGGCCAATGGCAATTCAAGACATTTAAAGATTTGCATGGTAGTAAAAGATGAAGCCTGTCTCTTCTGAGGGAAACACTGGAAACTGCCATGCAATATATAGCAGAGTGTGATTGGTAGGCATTGCTTAGGTATAGCGTTCTAGACCTGATAGAATCTTAGAACAGAAGACTTCTTCCATTAAATGACCACACCTTTTAAATTTCATTATGAAAACTAAAAGATTTGAGATGGAAGAAAAATAAATCTTCAATGGTATATTCTCTTTAGGATGGGCGAAGAGGACCAAAAGGCCCTTTGCCAGATTCGTCCCTCTTTTTTACCGGTACCAGTACAAGTTTCTTGTTTATTGTAAATATGAAATTATAATAAGCTATTATTTGCAAATCTAGCTTTGCTCAAGAAACGACTAATGAGTATCTGTAAATAACATAAATATCTTCAATGATGTATGATAACATTCTCTTTGTATATTGGCTAAAAAGAATATTTTTAAAAATTAAAATACCTATTGCACAAAAATTCTGCATTATTTTGTAAATTTGATGTTTATGGTTTGTCTCTTTGCTTTTTATTTATGAAAACCCAACCAATATTGTTGGTCATTACTTCGTTCATCTCAAAATGATTCAATTACATTCCTATTTTACTTTTATATCATTTCCATAATCAAAATTATAAATGATTAATAAGTTCCCAGAAAGTTTCCACATGCTCCTTGAAAGAAATAAGGGAGATACTCAGACCTTTTTGTCTGAAAAGGTAAAGAATAGGTCATTTTTCATTTGATCGAAGTCTTCAAAAATTTGTATTAATCTTTAATGAACATTAACGCGCTTATCTTTATCCCATATAATCTTTTACATATTTGAATTTTTTGTGAAAAGAAAAATACAAACTAAATACTCCAATAGAACCATTTATTAACATTTTAATTACATCACAAAATAATATAGATACATGATAAAGAAAAAAAGATGTTTAAAAAGACTTGTCAGTAATATATCTAATGAATTACAATAAAGAAAGTTAAATCACAGTAGATTAATAAAAAAGCTTAAGAATAGGGTAACAAAATTTTTGTGTGGAGAGTAATGATTTCAGTATCACCTCCAGCTTGGTAGATATTTTTTTTAAATATTTCTAGTAGAAGTATTTAATTATTATACTTTACTTTTTTTGATAATGTATTTGAAAAGAAAAAATACTTGGAAGTAATTAACAAGATGGCCCTGAGACCCTGAGGAAATTTCACTCACTATGGGGCTAGTTGACATACTCATCATGTCTCAGCTATAATAGATATGTCTCTGCAATTTATTCCATTTATTGATCAATTTTCTTCGGGATCACAAAATATTTATTTGGTTTATAGTATTAGAAAAACGGACAAAGAAAACATTGCTGCTAATCATATTATAATTTGGAAAAAATAAATAATTAAATAAGATCTAGGGACCTATTTTAATTATTTATAACATTTTTTATTTTCGATCTTACTTTATATTGATTTATTTTGTCTTACATTCAAATGAAAATCCTTTAACAATCATTAATACATATCAATATAATTATATTTTGTGTAATCTTGAATTATGGAATGGGAGGGAGGGGGGGGAGGATTTAAGTTTATAAAATAAAGATACAACAGTAAAAAGTGAACAATTATGCATGAATAAAAGAATACAGCATAAAATTATTAATGAAAAAATACAGTGAAATCTTTCACAATGAAGCGCTGTTATTTAAATATCAATGAAAATATTAAAAATTAAGTTCAGTAAATCATATTATTTAATGAATAGTATTAAAAACTTAAAGCAGTATAATAATCGAAGAAGTAATTAAAAACTTTGCCATTAACAAAAATAATAAACAATTAAATATGAAGTTTATAAATTAATAAGAAAAGAAAAGGCTGACCATTTGAAAAAACAAAAAACATTTTATTTTGAAGGTAAAAGTCTACTTATGTAACTGTCTTTAACTGAATTAAAAACAGTCCACAACATGGGGTGTAACTTAGAAAGAATGGGGAAATCCAAGGACCCTGGGACTAGAAGAACGCCTCGTTTTAGGGGAAAACAGAAGGTCCTCTCCTGAGGTCCTTTTGTCCCAAGTGTGTTAAAATAGTTATAAATTATTATAATGTGTAAATTTGTAGAATATTATATGGAATGCATAATATTATATGGATATTATGATAATGATAATATAATAATATAATATTCTATGCATAATATTATATGGGAAACTGATTGACATTAGCAATATTTGAAATGAAAATAATTTTATATTTTTGATAGGATAGATTTTTTTTATAAATCTTTCTATACTTCATAGGGCAGCTTTGTTAAATCAAATGGATTGGGAGGCTTAATGGCATGGACTATCGACTTGGACGATTTCCAAAATCTCTGCTGCGATGGCCAGTTTCCACTTCTTTCAGCAATCAACAAGGCGCTTGGTCGGGATATAAAGGGTCCTCTTGCAAGTGGCTGTACAAGACCAAAGCCACCGGTCACTCCTGCCCCTCCAACGACTACTTTGGACCCAGAAGCTGGTGAGTATCATACTGAACAACTTTTCTATCCTGCATATCCTACAGACAGCTTTTATACACAATAATTCAATTACTACACAAAAAAAGTGGATATTTTGTTTAATTTTAAGTATATTATAATGATATTCGATAATTGATTACAAATATAGATAACTTTATTTTTTCATTAAATATTAGAAATAATTAATTTTGATACAGGAACTTAAAAATCTCTAGTTTTTTTTTTATAAGTGGTAGGCCCCTGCCAAAAAAAAGCTTTGAGGAGTAAATTTCTTTAAAAATTAATTTTTCTGACCTTATTTTATAAATTTAAAAAAGTTATATTGTTATAATACAACTTTTCATGGCATGGTCCTCGTGGAGATTCATTGTTGTGAAATATATATATATATATATGTATATGTCTAACGAAATATCTACTGCAGAAACTGAGTAAATTTTTTTTATTCGATTATTCCCTATCTCCCCATTCCTGACTTAAGAGAGTGGAGGGGAGATAGTGTTCTTGAGATGCAACCAAACCTATTCTAACCAGAGAGGGAAGATTGAGATTCATTTCGTGAGTCCGCCATGAAATAAATTTCAACCTACTCAGGCTGGATTAAAACAGCCGTCGCTTGACATGAGAATGCTAAAACAGGCAACACTCTAACATGCTTGGTCATCATGACCTCAAAACCAAAACTCAGTACTAACAATGCTGTTTGTTTACATCCAATTCAAATCATCAAAGCCACCACTTTTTTGTGGAATGATATGATTAAGTGATCACATTTCCCTGAGAGCAGCACTACAATAAAAGATTGAAAAACAAGCATGTGTATGTTGTTTTAATCAGGCTTTCTGGTTTAGTTAATACACACACACACATACTTCGTTCATAATAAAAAATATATATAAATACACTATTTTACATGCCTAGGCATAACAACAACAGAACATCAGCACACTCATTGGACAGAGGCAACAACAAAACCTACATCAAGCACTCCATGGTGGACTCCAGAGACAACTAAAACAACAACAAGCAGGCCTACTACAACAACAACAAGAAGGACCACAACTACAAGGGGAACGACTACAAGAAGAACTACAACCACCAAAAGACCCACTACAACTTCAACATCTCCAACCCCATGGTGGACACCTGAATCTACAACTACAAAGCCTTCTACATCTTCAACACCGTGGTGGGTCCCAGAGTCAACAACAACAAAGCCTTCTACGACTACACCACCTTGGTGGGTGCCAGAGACTACTACTACAACAAAACGGCCCACGACTACTAAAACAACTACTAATAAACCTTCTACATCCACATCAACAGGTCAATAGAACTAATTTTTAATGATAAATTTGTTTAGAATTATTTATTACAGAAAAATGATAAAAATTTCTTGTAAAATATTCCATAATGTCCTTCAAGAACAATCAATAAGTTGTGTATCCATACACACAACATTTTTTACCACTTTAGACACAAAGTACAACCCAAAAATTGTTTGCTTTTTCTTCATTAATATCGGGTCAGTCATTTTTTTAAATAGTGCTATTGTATAGGCAACTTTTACAATTATGGTAAAATAACTCTCATGATTCTCAATAAGGCAACATTCTAAATTTTAGGGTAACATTCTAGTTTTTAAGCAGTGGACTGTATTTTAAGGGATTGGTAGGTTAATGATAATGCAAAAAAATAGCTCACCGTCTATGTGTCAGCCTACATCTTTTTTACCTTGGAGGGCCCTTCGCCATCGGGCCGTCGGTCCTTGCTGGTTCAATGCTGGTCAGGTAGTGGCCTCGAGTTTCTCTCAAAGCTTAAGTCCCATCTTTTATCTTTTAGATCTGTCCCCACCACTCGCCATAATGCGGGATATTTAAAACGAAAACCCCTCTTTGGCACAACCAACCATAATAAAACTATAAGTTGATATCTATATTCCAAAGACCAATATATCGACCTAACCTCCTGATGGTAAAGATTGATAAAGTAAGGGGATCAAACTGTATTGAAATATAAGTTGTATAGAAATTGAACTATATAGGCTTATGATTTGATACCGATATTTCGATCACCACATCGGCCTTTTTTGCATTAAAATATTTTGAACAGAGCTAGACAAGTAAATAGCTTGTGATAGGTTTCGGCATTGTTCTATCATTAATGGACAGTGTGCATAGCTATCTGCAGAGTTCATGGTAAACACCACAAGCACTCAGAAATTGAACTTTCAGACAAATTTTTTTTTTCTTTTTGGCAAAATACACTACTGCCATGGAGACCTATATTACGCCCATATACTTCATCAGGATAAGCCGATGGCATAATACTTTAAAAAAAGGATTTCCTAGAATTTAGATATAACATCAACTACAAACTGTTTTTAAAAATAAATTTTGGAGCCTTGAAAGGCCTTTAAAATGAATATTGAGAGTGATATTTCCAAATATATTTAATATGTTTGTCTTGAATTTAACAAATTATTTGTCTAAAACTGGAAATGGGCTGTTGATTAATAATTTATCATTTTTCTGTATATTTTAAAAATATTTAAGTAATTGCTTACTGTTCAGATGAAATAAACTATTAAGAGTTTATGTTCTTATTCAGAAAAAGAACAAGAACAAACTGGAGAACAGAACACTGAACTACCTTCAACTTGTCAGACAGGCGACTACAAACCGGTTCAAGGAAACTGTCAAGAATATTATAGGTAAGTTATCCCATAGTAAGTTAAAGTCTCTAATCAACTTAAAATATTCTAACCTAATCAATTAATTTTTTTATAAATCAAACTTTGTAGGTGTATATTAGGAGAGTTCAGAAAAGAAAGATGTGCGGGTGATTTGCACTGGAATGAACTTCGGACAATTTGTGACTGGCCCAGTGAAGCTAAATGTACTTCAGGTATCACTTCAAACTCTTTCTATTTTTATCATCTTAATAGTAAAATATTTATGAACACTTATTGATGTTATATAATAATAATGTTATATAATTAAATTTATTATTTTTCAGAAATCAATGTCAAGCCTTCCACAGAAGGCTGGATGACTACAAAGCCCACTACACAGGATTGGTGGCCTACATCAAAACAACCAACTACTAGGCAATCTACAACAACAGAGCGAATGACTACAACACAAAAACCGACCACAACAACAAAGGAGCCATTTGAGGTATAAATTTTAGATATTAGTATTCTAGATAAGGTACCTTATCTTTAATTAATAAAAAATTGTCGGTTTCCATGATATAGAATGATGTATTTTAAAAATAAATGCATTTTATTGAAATGTACAGGTGTTCAATGATGAATGATGATAGTCAAACGAAAGAATATAGTGTTTATTAACTTCTTTACAAACTCCTATGATGAAAATGAAGTTATTAAACCATCTTTCATCATATGTCAATTTATCTTATTGTTTATTGAACTTTAATCCTCAAATGATTGTTAATTCTTCACTTCTCCTGTTGCTTGGTATAGGTAGATAGTCACCTCCATAATGTTGATGGTTTCATTTTTCCTTGACCCATGATACAATGAGGTTATTCTAAACATGAATTGAAATAACTACAGCTTTTAATATTAAGACTATTTGTATGGTTCCAGATGGTGTGTCAGAATGGTCAATATTATCCAGTGTCCGGTAATTGTGCAGCATTTCATATGTGCGTCAACGGCATTCTTATTGAGCAGCCCTGTGCTCCTGGTTTGCATTGGAACATGGACGCGCAGATATGTGATTGGTCATTTTCATCAAAATGTTCTCCAGATACAGGTACAACTGAAATTTTATTTATATAGTAATTAACAAATTATTGAAATATGTATTCCAAAAAAAAGCCTTGAGTCCTTCAAATACCAGTAAATGACTAATCTTATAAAGTCAAGCAAAAAGGCAAGAAATTAACGTTCCAAAAAAGATTTACCAAATAGATATAGTAAACCACTCCAGAATAGTGGTATACATTTTTAAAAGTTTTACAATCACTTAATAAATTATTTGTAAATCTTCCAGCTGTTTTGGTTAAAGCCGAACAGGGATGTAATAGAGGTATATTTGCCCCCCACCACAAGAATTGTAATAAATATTTACAATGCCAATGGGATAAATATGAAGTCCACACTTGCGCACCAGGTCTTCATTGGAATCAGGTTTGATATTTACTTCTAAAAATTTCTTTCTGATTGTATTACACTTTCTTTCTAATTATATTTTAGAATAGCATTCAAGTGAACAATGTTTTTTTAAAATAAAAATTAGTACTTTATATTTTTTGAAACTAATTTTCTCTCCTTAAAATAATATAGTTGTAGAAATTACTCAATAATATATCTATAAAAAATATATTTGTAATAATATATCTTTAAAAATTCAATAATTTATCTTGTCTCACGTAAATTAATTATTTTTAAAAAAACACTACTACAACCCATGAAGGGTCTAGGGTTCTGTACTAAGAGAGGTATAGTACTATTACAGGGCCAACAGTTGTGAAGGAAGGTGATTGGGCCGAGATCACTCTCAACCACCAGGTTTTCCCCCTTAATTAATTATTTAATTAAGAGTCTCCCACTTTAAGAGGCTGGGTGTGCCTCAGGAGGGTCTCACGACCTCAGGGTCGATCCACAGCTGATGAAAAATCACTAGTCATCAGCCAGATTTAATCCTGGGACCTTGAGCTCCCCCGCTCCTTAAATTAATTATAAATTGGTGTCCTACATTGAGGATGAAGAGGGTAAAGAAATGAATTATCTTTAAATGGAACTCGCTGTAGAGGATGACTTATGTATAGTAATGGATAATGAAAAAAACATTTTTTGAAAATCCTGAGCCACTAAAACCAATGAAGGATCTTGGGTTCATTACTATATAAGGAAGTACTGTTTCAAGGCCAACCATTGGTCAGGATTAACCTCAACTGCCAGATTTTTCTTCTAATTAAAGGTACTCACTTTTTAAAGGTTGAGTGGAGATTGATCCATGGCTGATATAACAGAATAAATAACCATCTTCCATAGCCAACTCCAATTTTCCATCCGGGAGTCAGGAGCACAGTCTCTTACTGAACTAATGGTAATAGAAAGACAGGTAATAACTTAAGGATAGATGTGAATAGGTAAGCTATTGAGGAAGAGTACTTAAAGGATAATATGAAAGAGAATGAAAAAGATGAAGGCAATCTTGATTTTCTCTACTTTCAACCACAATATAATTTACAATGCCTATGAGCTGATTTCATTCAACTTTGATAACTTATTACTTTATTTTCAACCTTGAAGGTTTACAAAAAAGAAAATCTTCACAACAATTAAATAATTATTTTAAAATAAAAAATAAAAATATAGACATTTTAATATCAACCAACATAATGCCGCACAATCCGTTCTCTGTTCTCCCTCCCCAACCATAAAATCTAGATTCTTTGGACTTGATTAATGCTGTTGCTCACCTGATAGCTCTGAAACACTTGTAAGAGTAGACAGATGTATTTTTAATTTTAAGTCAGTAAACTATAATTCTTGTTTATTTTTTTTTCATGTTTAAATCAATTTCAAAATATTTACTGGAACAGTTAAAAATCAGATGATTCTCATGAGAAATGATAGGACGAAGCCTGGCAGAGACAGAGGAAGTTGTAAGATGTGATAATAAAGTATTTACAATTCGCAAAGATTTTATGATATATTGCCATACATGTTATTAACAGTTGGGTAGTTTAAAATGTCAAAAATCTATGACAAAATGAGAGAATTTTTAGGACTTATCGGTTTTGTTCAACTACTATGCCCATCCTCTAAACTAGAAAAAAAAAAAAAACCGTTATTTTTAGGAAATGTTTAAATTAGTCCCAAACTAACACAACATATAAATTTACAATTCTTAATTAATCATTCATAAACAAAAAAATGGATATTTTTTATTTTAATTCGAATCATTTTCAGAAAAAAATGATTTGTGATTGGCCTAAATCAGCTGACTGTGACCGATCTGGTGGTGGTGATGCTGATACAGATGTGGTTGTTGCAACAGAGGCTCCTTCTGTCACAGTTTCATCAACTTACAAACCATCAACAACAACCGAGTGGACCTGGAAGCCCGAGGAACAAACTGAATGGTCCTGGACCAGTACTACCACAGAGGAACCTTGGCCTGAAACACCTTATCAGCATCCTCTATCAGGTTATCTTTTCTTTTAATATTTTAACACCTGAGTTTTACTATAGATAATGGATACTAAGAGTGAAGTCTGGAATTATTTATATTAAATTTCATTTACATCTTAAGTAATGGCAATTAATAATTTCAGGACACTACAAAGTGGTTTGTTACTTCACCAATTGGGCATGGTACAGGCAGGGAAGTGGCAAATACCTTCCTGAAGACATAGACTATGATCTTTGCACACATATTATATATGGCTTTGCAGTTCTTGATTATTCAGAACTCATTATTAAATCCCACGATTCCTGGGCTGATTTTGACAACAGTACGGTCATTTATCAGTACTGATTTATTAATTTTAAATCATAAATTTCACAATCTTAATTAAAAAATTGATTCTAGATTTCTACAATCGAGTAGTCTGGTTTAGGAGAAAGGGTGTGAAGGTACTGTTGGCTCTTGGCGGATGGAATGACTCGCAAGGAGACAAGTACAGTCGCCTGGTAAACAATCCAGCAGCAAGGTCGAAATTTATTGCTCATGCGGTTCCATTTTTGCAGAAATATAAATTTGATGGTCTCGACTTAGATTGGGAATATCCCAAGTGTTGGCAGGTATTTTTTTTTTCAATGTTTAAGTTTTATTATTAATTTTGTTTGATATTTCTAATATTTAGGATATATGTGTAATTTTTTTTTTCATTTTTTAAGTTTTATGTTGGGTTGATTGTTTACCTGTATTTTAGAGACCAAGCCTGTTGCTTAGATTCTTCAAATTATCCCAAGGCATACTTTTAGTTTATTAATATATTTAATTAAAAAGACATATCAAGTATTTATATTGTATAAAAACCATGCATTGGTGTTTTATTCACAGACTAACTGCAACCAAGGAAAAGATTCAGACAAAGAGGCATTTGCAATGTGGGTTAAAGAATTAAAGACTGAATTCAACAAGCACGGCCTCTTGCTCTCTGCGGCTGTATCACCTAGCAAGACCATTATTGATGTTGGTACGAATTAAATGACCCAGTATCAACGCATAAATATAACTTAACAGAAGTGATAATTTACATTAAAATTTCAATTTAATATAATATTTATAAATCTTAATTTATTAATTTTTCTAGGTTATGATCTCCCTGTGTTGGCTCAATATTTGGACTGGATATCAGTCATGACCTACGACTATCATGGCCAGTGGGACAAGAAAACAGGGCACGTTGCCCCCATGTATGAACATCCTGAAGATGACTTCTACTATTTCAATGCTGTATGTTTTTAAATTTGAGAACGATAATGACAAATTTTTAACGATTAAAATATATAATTCTACATTATATAACTTCAAACTTTTCAGAATTACACCATACATTATTGGATAAATGGAGGAGTGCCTAGCAGAAAGTTGGTGATGGGTATGCCAATGTACGGTCAAGGTTTCACATTGTCAAACGAGAAGGATCATGGCCTGAATGCTCCTGCTCCTAGACCAGCTGAAGCCGGTGAATACACTAGAGCAGCTGGATTCTTAGCCTATTACGAGGTAAAGATCAATTCTTCAGAATTCTCTAAATTTTAATGCAAATACAATGAACCCTTAATCTATTGTATCGGAGGTTTGATTTTTTATATGGGGCAAAAAGTAAGCCAACTACATTATAATTTTTATGTTCCTAAATGTTTTGAAACAAAAAAGGGTTAGAATAATACATTCATGCTGAACAATTTAAAGAAAAACCTAGCGGGCGAAAATCTACGCTCAGGGAGAGAAAAGTCATCCGCCTTTACATAACTTCAGACAGTTATTTTATAAAATATTTCAATAATAAAGGGTTATTGTTAAGCACATGTCCACCGTTCAGCTATACTCATCATAAGGATATTGCAAAAATAATATTTGTGTCTTCTAATTACATTTTAGTAAACTGTATTATCAATATTCAAATTGGACAACTAAGAACCAATATTTAAAAAAATAATAAACAAATAAAAATGTAAAGTAAAAAATTTCAACAAAAAAAATTCAACAAAATGAGCTCACCCAAACACGTTAACTGAAAAACATTGTTTTTTGTTTGGCTCAAAGAAAGAGTTCAATTTATTCTTTTTATTTTAGAAATAAGTTTTTTATATATATATTAAAGTGTTCATAAATTCATAAGGAAAGCAGATAAATGGCATGGACTAATGCTTTTAAAAGTCTAATTATAATATAATCATTTTTTAAACTTTTTTTTACCATAAAATCAAATGAAGTTGGTTTTAATTTTTAAATTGTACTGCAAATTTATAAAAGTAATTATGATAGTTATGAATTATGATATGCCTCCATTATATAAATAGGGAAAAAAATAATATAGTTCTGTTATAATTTTATATATTACCTTTAAAAATCTATTATTAAGTCCTAACACAAAATAATAATATTTTTTCATTAAAGGCTTTTCTTAATTTTTTATTAAATCTAAAAGCAATCCTGTTTCAACATGTAAATCTTTCTCATTGAAAATTTTTCCTTTCAATAATACAACATTAATGATTATAATAAAACAATTAAGTTTATATCCTGTAATTATTATTACTATTATATTACATTATGTATTATTTCCACAGCATTTCAAACAACAAAACTTTGATTTTTTAATTGAATTTTATATTTTCTGTTAAGATATGCGACAGGATTAAGAATCGTGGATGGACTGTTGTGAAAGATGAACAGCATAGAATGGGACCTTATGCATACCATGGAACCCAATGGGTCGGTTTTGACGATCAAGAAATGATAAAACTTAAGGTAACTAAATAATAATGAACACAAATATTTATTGAACTTTAAACATATAATTTAATCTTTTTTTAAAAACCTTTAACAGTCTGAATATATTCGTGACATGGACCTTGGTGGTGGTATGATATGGGCTCTGGACCTCGACGATTTTAAGAATACTTGTGGTCAAGGAAAGCATCCCTTACTAAATACAATAGCAAAAACTCTTGCTTCTCCTCGTAAGTTTATTACTTTTTATTGTATATCAGACTTATAAGTAGAATTATTCTTTGAAGTTTAGATAAGTATGCTGGTATTACACGGCAAATGCTTTGTGACAATGTTGAGTGATTGACAAAGTTGGTTTAAAGGTGGGAACTTCAGTTATAATTTTTAAAATTTGAAGACTACTGGCACAATAAAGTATTTCACTTTTGTTCCTGTATCAATTAGTGGGCTTATTTACAATTTTTGAGGTTCGTTATACAATAAAAAAATGATTACTAAGTACTAATGAGGAGGTAAATCAGCCACACACACAATATTAAGCACCTAGAATCATCAGGTTGAAAATCAGAGGTTAATAGTGTTTCCTTGGTTTAAGTATAGTGATAATGATTTATTATTATTTACTAAATGGTTGAAAGTGGAGTAGCACAGTTAGTAGACACTGAGCTGGCAATGAAACAGTACTTCCTTTAAAAAGTACTGAACCCAAGACAAATTCAGGTCCTTAAGTAGTACATTATAATATTAAAATTATCTTTATGGATAAAATTATAAATAATAATAAAAAGCTCCTTCCATCGATCCCCTCAAAATCTAATTAAACCCTAAAATGATGCTCCTAGGTCTCAGTCTATCCTTCAGAAGTTTACTCATTGCTTAAACACCAATAAACTTTTTATTAAGCCAGGCAAATTACCTTGATCATTTGGATAAATTCTATATATTTTTTATTGAATGATATAATAATAAATATAGTAGAATATTGTAAAATAAAATATCTTTATTGAAAGTATATTAATCAAAACTTCTCATAAAACACATTAACCTAAATGCAAAGAGTATCTTGTGTCAGATGACATATAATGACAAAAATGTTCTTCATCAAACAATAAAGAACAGTGTAAATTAGCTCCTTCAAATACTTCAAGTGGGGAGATTTATAAATGCTTTAGAGCAACTCAACCAGTTTTGATGTATACATTTCAAATGAAGACCTACCAATAACAGTCTCATAGTAGTAACCTTCCAACTCTGGTTAGAATAGGTTTGGTCCCACCTCTTGAACAACTTTCCCTATGCCAGAAATGGTAAGGTAGGAGTATTAAGGAAAAGAATAGTTTCTTGGTGGTAAATATATGCATATTTCACATGTAAATATATGGTTCCAAGGAAATCAGAGAACTCCTTCACATTTGAAGGATGCCTCAATCACCTGTATTTGTGGTGAACTGTGATTGAATGGAATAAGGCTGCTTTTATTTTTATTTGTCTACATAAAACCCTAATTATTCTTTGAAGGCAAGGTTCTACTAATTATCATTCAGGAAACATAGCCATAATCCCTAAAATATATCAATTGTTTTAAACAATTTCTAGAAACAGTATTCAAGCTTTCTCCCCTGAAAATCTAAGTATTAAAAAAAGAGAGAAGAAACATTGACACAAAATTGACTCATCTAGTTATTATTTTATTTTATTGTTGTTGTCACTGATAGTATAATTTTTATCAGCAAATGGAACTCCTACAAGACCAACTACAACAAGACCAACAACCTCCAAACCAACGAAACCTACCAAGCCATCCTACAAACCTGGCAAGCCAGGAAAACCTGGGAAACCTCCAACCACAACGAAAAAACCTACAAGACCAACTGAAGAGACAACTCCTCATCACACTAGCACCAAAAAGCCGAGTCATAAACCAACAGAGCCTGAGCAAACCACGCCAGCCCTACCAGGACCAGAAGGGCAGTTTAAGGTCGTCTGCTACTTCACTAACTGGGCTTGGTACAGGTAATCAAAACTCTTTTCAACCAATTCTAACATTAAACCTATCAATTAGTTTTGAGAACCATAATATGAACTTTCATCAGGCTGGCTTCAGGCTCCATTCCTGTTCTCAATTTTCTTACTCAAATTCCTTATTGTTCAGTTAACTTCATAAAATTGTAAATGCTAAGGTATAAGCCGTCATTAACGAGAGTGTATATAGTAATTATTCTTTATCCGTTTATTGAATAATGTACACAGACTGTGCTTTCAGTATTTCTCAATACAGGTAATTGTATCTCCTTGGCTATGAAATGGTAGGTAAATGCCAAAGAATATTCAACATTGAAGTAGTCCGAAAACCGGATGTTGTTTAATAAAGCTAGATAAGAGATAAACAAGGCAAATCAGGTTGTGCTGCTGGAATCGTTAAAGATGAATGCTATTAGAAAGCAAATTCTAATAGTAATGGATAGATAGATCTCTATTAGGTGAAGCTGAAAAAGAGAAGTATAACAAAAAAGAAAATATATGTGATAAGGCATGAGTCCAGTACACCCAGAAGTCAAAAACATCAAGTGATGAGTGACAAAAATAAGGATGAAGGCTACCCAGTAAAGGCAAAAATTCATCTATCAGCTGGAAAAGTTCTTACAGTGGTTTTTCTTTTACTCAATGGTTGTTTTGATCTTTGGTTTTCTTCAAAATCAATGAATAGTGAACATGGTTCAATATTGCCAGTTGTTACAACTGTCAATAACTGTTTACTAAAAAAACAAAAAATGGCGAGTATGCCAATTGTTAATTTAACTGTGATAAGCTGAGGTATCATTCTGCAATCTTGACTAGAGGAATAAATTAGAAGAGGGGAAGTCCTTGAACACTCTCCTTATCTCTCTGTGACAATTTTAAAGCAATGAAGAAGTGGACGAGCATGTGCTCTATTGGCTGACTACTCACCCTCAAACTTTTTACAAATTAGGAATATCCGAGGTTCCAAATCAGTGACAAAAGTCTGTATATCATTCAGAAGACTGCAGTGTGAAAAGCTGAAAGTATAGATTGTGTATAACATTAATTAATAAATGTTTAAAGATGGTGGCCTATCAGAGCTTTTTTTTAAATTTGTTTTATCATTAGCTTGTTTTGTTTTTTGTTGTGTTTTGAGCCTAGATGAGTATGTACTAAATTGGACACTGTGGAGGTAATACCTAAAAAACTTATTTTTCTTAAGACTGTAAAGATAAATAGCTTTAACGATTTTTATTAAACATGCCTAAATTCTTTTCCTTGAAGCATTAAAACCTTTTAATTGTGGGTTGATGGTTGACTGTAGTGAATAATGAAGAGAAGGATAGTTGGGGGATCAGTCAAAATAAAAATGGCACAAATAAATAATAATGATTATTTTAACAAATGTTAAAATAAACTTTATGTTATATTTTGGGCATATTATTACGTTTTGGGCAAATGTTAAAATAAATTTATTTTTGCCATTTTTATTTTGTCTGATCACCCCAACTATCCTTCTGTTTATAAAACCTTCTAAATTTATTAATTATACAATCCTCCAAAAAAAAAATTAAGATAAAAACAAGCTGTTATATAAAAACAAACAGAGATATGGGGTTTTGAACCTTGTACATAAGTTTCCTTGGAAAGTCCTTTGTTTTGTTTTTTAATAACTTAAAAATTATACATTTCCCAGAACACTGTAGATGCTCATGTTTAAAATAATTTTATTGTCTATATAGCCAAACATAAATATGTGTAAAAAGACTTATCGTGTTGAGAGAATACATCAGACAAATTTGATATACAACAATTTGGAAATAAACCACTTTGTGATAATTTGCAGTATTTCTTATGTTACTTTAATCACCATTATAAAAAAAATATATAAATATTGTTGGAACATTAATCTGAGGTCAACAATTAGTTCTTGTAAAACCAGTTTCTTCTGATCTATATCCTCCATAGAAGTAAAAATAAAAAACAAAACTAATGTTCATTAACATATCATTTGTTTCCTCTCAATTATTACCCATCATTTCTAAAATCAACTGTCAGTTTAATGTGATATATTTTGTATTTCCAGACAAGGAACTGGTAAATATCTGCCAAGTGATATTGATCCAAATCTCTGCACTCACATAGTCTATGGCTTTGCAGTCTTGGACACAGACAGGCTTGTTATCAAACCACATGATTCCTGGGCAGACCTCGATAACAGTACGTCTTTTGTTTATTTCATAGTAATTTTTATTATTTGTGACAATTCCATATTGATATTTATATCCCTTGATTTGTATTTTGATCAATAGAATTCTACGAAAAAGTGACAGCTCTTAAAGCTAAGGGTGTTAAAGTGACACTAGCCATTGGAGGATGGAACGATTCTGCTGGTAATAAGTACAGCCGTTTGGTAAACAGCAGAGATGCAAGGCAGAGATTCAATGAACATGTTCTAAAATTCATCCTGGAAAATAATTTTGATGGTCTTGATCTAGATTGGGAGTACCCCAAGTGCTGGCAAGTAAGTAATTTTATTTTCAGAGCTGAAGATAAATATTTAATTACTTTATAGCGATTTTTTTTTTAATAACTAACAACATAATAACAAAATAGAAAAAATATTTTTGATTGAGGTTAAAAGTCTACTAATAAACTTGAAAAGTAGAATTCTGGGGCCATACCACATATGGCACATATGATTTCAACTTTAAATGAGCCTCCATATCCAAAAAAAAAAAATAAACAACTAACAATGAACCCAAGCAATTTCTTTTTTTTTTTAATACTTATAAAAGTATAAAAATAAATAAAGTGCATTCAAGAACAAAAAATTACTTTGATGTACAGTGACTGTTTTGTTATAATTAGGCGGTCAAAATCTTAATTCTATCATAATCTGAATATTCTTTATTATTATATAACAGAATATATCAGTCGAACAACTGAAAATAACAAAGGCTTACCTTGAAGCCTACATACAGAACATTAAAGAAACAAGAACTGATAAGACATTATAATCAATTCTAGACTATAGATCCTCACTTAACCTTCTAGAGACAATGAGCGGGAAGAATGGAGCGACCTTGAGGATGGTAATAGCCGACATTTCTCCAAGCCCATTTGATGGAACACTTTTCATCACCACTTTTGTTTAGGGCATCATTCCAAAATGTCCATAATTTCCAACCACAGAAAAATTACTTGCTGCCTCATAGAAAGGCCACAAGATAGTTTGAAAGTAGAATTCATCACTGAGCATCCCATCATGAAAGAGCGACATGCTCTCAACTTATGAGTCTACCATCACCAGAGCAGGGTCCCATCTCAATTCATATCACCATCATTAAAGGATTAAATAACAAAACAAGAGTCACAAATATACCACTATACCAAGTGAGGTTATGGGCGTGAGGTCACATATTTCAATGAAACTTTTAATAGAATAATAGAAAAATCAGCTGGACCCATGGCTGTCCATTTTGGAAAGGTTTCACTGTATAATATACTAGTTACTAATAAACAATAAATAGTTATTTCTATAAACATCAATAGTTAAAATATTATGTTGCCTTAATTATTCTTATAAATGTTTGCTTCTGACAGGTTGACTGCAACAAGGGGCCCGATTCAGACAAACAAGCTTTTGCAGATTGGGTCACAGAATTGAGAGAGCTGTTCACACCTCATGGACTTCTGTTGTCAGCAGCTGTATCTCCAGCCAAGACAGTCATTGATAATGGTCAAAATCGTTTAAATATTTAATAATTAATTGGATCATTAGCATTAAAAATTATAAATAACTTATCATGATTGTCACAGGTTATGATGTAAAAGTACTCTCTGATAAACTGGACTGGATAGCGGTGATGTGTTATGACTACCACGGACAATGGGACAAGAGGACAGGCCATGTGGCACCAATGTACATCCATGATGAAGACTTTGATGCCTCATTTAATGCGGTGAGGTTATTTAATCACAATTATTGACAATTTTAAAAAGAAATATTAATGTTATCATTAACTTTTTCACATAACAACTTAAAAATGTATACACAAGAAATTGATAAAAACTCCGTAATTGAATTCTAATTTTTTATTGATTTCATTTTGGAAACATAGATCTTCAGAGAAAGGACCCTCCATAATGACCTTCATATCCCAATTGTTATTGACCTAATCCCAGATAAATTTTCCAAATTTCACCAGAACTTCATTCATCATCCAAATCCTGTAGCACAATCCCTATCTAGCTCCAGCCATCCCTGTGTATAATCCTCACCGGACGTTAAAACGGCAGTGGCCCCGCTACCTTTTGTAAATATGTATATATTGGAGTACTGGCAATGGCCAGATTCTCCACTCAAGTCCTGAGTGTCTGTTGCTCTAATGCCCTCCATCAGTCTCCACTGGCTTGCAATACCAGTGACGTGGCTGCGAGAGAAGCACTAGGATCTCCTGGGGTCCTGCCTTGGCTTCCACATTTGGACGACAAAGCATGACTCAGAATCCCCTGGGTGAATGTAAATATTGTATATAGGTGCTAATGTGTTTTATATATTTTAATTTCCTTTAGTTTCTCTCTAAGTTTTTTTTTTTTTTGTGTATATATGTTAATTTTCTTATTTTACTTTCTACAACTCTTTTTCTTTTATCTCTATTTTAGTTATCATTTGTATGTATATATTGTGTGAATGATTAATGTAGCTCTAATATTAATGCCCTCCAATGAGGCAGTATGTATTAATTTTCAAATTAAAAAAAAAAAAGATCTTCAGAGAATATAATATAATATAAATTCTGTTAAAAATATTCTTTCCTAATCATCTGTTAAAGTGATAGGTAGTCAAAAATGTTGACATAAAATGAAAAAATATATGAACCTGAGGATAAGATCTGTCAATGTGACATAATAAAAAAACAATAAGTTTTTATTTTTTTGTTGGACTGAAAATTTTAAAAAAGTATATATATATATATATATATTCTGGGTGTTTTAGGGTTAAGTGGCCAAACCGCAAAAATGAATTAAGGATCTCAAAACAAGAAAAAAATTTCCTCTGAAGGTATGTCTTCAAACACTTTGTTTAGGAGATATTCACACTTAAAGATTTTCATTGTAATGAATTATTTATGTTATATGAAATAAATAAAAACTATTTATTTGTTCTAACTACTTTATTAATTAAATGTAAAATTGCTCCATGTAAATTTAAATGTAAAAAAACAACAACTACAAAAAATGTATACGAGCAACTTGCACAATCATATCCCATAACCCAACCAATGGCTTGGCCTGCATGTTCTCCAAACCTGACACCACTGGAATATTTTTGTTTGGGGTGACTTTAAACAAAAATTCTATGAAAGTCCGGTCAATGAACTTAATTCCTTACGAAGAAGTATAATTGAATCTTGTGAAACAATATCACATATCCAGTGCCGTTCTGCCACTGCTGCTATTGAAGAAAGATGCCGAGCCTGTCTTAATGCTCAAGAAAATCACAACAACAACATTTAATATAAATGTTAATGTTTACATTTAATTAATAAAGTTATCCATAAATCTTTATCCCACTCCCTTATTCCTTCCACTCCAACTGATGCCATTCAATCAACTTCTATAATCCTTTCAATTCGCCCTTTCCATCTCACATTCTCAGCTGTATACTCCTCCTGGTAATTCCATCTCCTATAACCTTCTTGAATCCTTATTTCAATCCCTCGGTTCGCGCTTTATTGCTGGAGGAGACTACAATGCTAAACACCAACGATGGGGTTGTCGAACATCCAACTCCTGCGGTAACATCCTTTCACGTATCTCATCTTCCAACAGTTATTCAATCCTCTCGCCCATGAGTCCTACTTATTGGCCAACATCACTCAAAAAACGTCCCGATATCCTAGATATATTTATCACTAGAAAAACTTACAGCTGACATCCCAACCCATCCTAACACTGTTATTACCATGTATGCCGATGATACATGTGTCCTATCCGTTAATAATGACCCAACCATTGCATCCCAAACTCTTCAATCACACATCACAAGCCTTGAAGAATGGTGTCAAAACTGGAGGATTAAAATAAATTCTAATAAATCCCATCAAATCACCTTTACCCTTCGACGTAAACCTATGACCTCATGCCCCACAGTATCCTTTAATAATACCCCACTTATCCCTGTTGAACAAATCCGATACCTTGGACTTCACTTGGACAAACGTCTAACTTGGAATCCTCATACCAGACTGAAACGACAAGAAACCGCTCGACGTTTCCGTCTACTCCAACACTTACTAGACAAACGCTCTAAACTTCCCATTAATTACAAAAGACTCATATACTTGACTATAATAAGACCTATTTGGACTTACGGAGTTGAGCTATGGGGCTCCACTAAACCATCGAATTCCTCTCGCATCCAATCCTTACAATCCAAAATCCTTCATAAAATCCTCAATGCTCCTTACTTTGTCACTAATAAAATAATCCATAAAGACCTCAATGTTCCATATGTTTCCGATTTGGCCAAATCCAGATACCTATCCTTCCATAATAAACTTCATAACCATCCGAATCCTCTTGTTTCTAACCTTGCTTCCTCTTCGATTCCTGATAATCCTCCGAGGCGTCTGAAAAGAAGATGGCCTCGTGATCTTCTCATGTAGACAAATTATTAGAGTGCTACCAGTGGGTAGTTTCTCAACAAGCGTGTTTCATGTGATAATATTTCTCTGTACACATTTACTTGATGTATTCATACTAATACAGTTGTAAATATCATAATAAAAGTTTTAAAAAAAAAATTAATATAGTAGTTAGAACAAATAAATAGGTTTTATTTATTTCATATAATGTAAATAATTCATAACAACAAAAATCTTTAGGTGTGAATATCTCCTAACCAAAGCTTTTGCAGACACACCTTCAGAGGTAATTTTTTTCTTGTTTTGAGGACCGTAGTTCATTTTTGCAGTTTGGCCACTTAATCCTGAAACACTCTGTGTATATATATTGATATATATTTATGTCAAATTGACTGATTGCCCAAACTACTATACAATTCTTGTTTATTCTTTAACATTAAAAAAACACAACATTAAAAAAAATTATTAATACCTATTATTATGCATTTATCATTGCAGAACTTCACAATGCATTACTGGTTGAGCCAAGGAGCTGATAGGAAGAAGCTTGTGATGGGAATGCCAATGTATGGCCAGAGTTTCTCTCTAGCAGAAAACAATGAAAACGGGCTAAATGCACCAACTTATGGTGGTGGTGAAGCAGGAGACGAAACTAGAGCAAGAGGCTTCCTATCATACTATGAGGTACAAAAGCAGTATTACAATTTATTTCTAATAGTATTCATTGAGAACTTCAATAATTATTCATCTTGTTTCTTAAATAAAATTTCATTTGATATGTCTCTTAGTATTCATGAATGAACACTTGAAAAGGTAATCACACTTTTTCTTTCATTTAACTACAAATACTGATGTTTTTGGAGTTAGCTAAATTGAGTTCTTACTCTCAGTGGAATTAATAACTTGGCTAGAAAAATTATTTTATTTTGTAAATGAGGTAAACTCTTTTACAACCAAAGATCACATTAAATACTTTACATAAAGCTTAAAGCTTATAGAACAAAATCATTAGAAATATACAGAGAGCAAATTTTTTGGTATAGTGGCTAATAAAAATTAACATGAACTTACAAAATACAACTCATTTTACACATAGTTATGATGAATAATATTAAAATTAATTATATTGTTTAATTTAATGAAGACCATAAATATTCAATATAGTTAGAAACAATTATAAACATATCCAACTATTAATAAACTTTGAGTTACCGTATTTAACAAAATAAATAATATTAAATCATTTTAATTTCAACACAAACTAATGAATATAAAAATAAAAGCTAATTAGCAATACAAAATTAAAATTAAAAAAAAATATATCTTATTCTTATATGGCTGGTTTAGATCTGCGATCGAGTTCAGAGGCGAGGCTGGGAGGTTGTCAAGGATACTACAGGAGCGATGGGACCATATGCCAGGAGCAGGGACCAATGGGTTAGTTTTGATGATGCCGCCATGATCAAGCACAAATCAGAATATGTCAAGAAGCATGACTTTGGTGGAGCAATGATATGGGCTTTAGACTTGGATGACTTCAGGTAGCTAAAGTGCAATATGAATAAAACTTTACATTAGCAGTATTATATATTATATATATATTTAACCAAGCTAGAAGGTAAACAAGATTCTTCTTATTACAATATTATATCAATAATTTCAGGTTAGATATTTTCCTTTTTACTTTATTGTTATGAAAGAAAAAAAAAATAATATGATCCTATTTTCTTAAGTCACATATAAAAATTGTATCCTATTATTTGAAACATTTCGGCCTCACTTACGTTTCCCTGTAATTGCCATATTTAGACTAGTTCATCTTTAATGATAATACTATCAATATTGAATATTTCTTTCTATTTAAAAATATCATACATGAGTTAAGAAATTATAAAATCTGTTTAAAATTCTTTATACTATAAAAAATAGAATTTAGTAATGAGTGATCTTTTTGAGGAAGGAAGTACAACAAATAATGATAGTTAAATCACTCAAGTTGACTACGGTTACAGAGAGAAACACTTTATTTTCATATAAAATATAAAAAATATTATATAAGATAACATATTAGATAAGTGAAGCCAAAATTATCCTAGCTATGTAGTACACAAAATTATTTTAAAATGTGAATCAAGAAATGATAACAACAATAAAAATCATAATTTTAGTCTGAAGATGGGATGTGGAGTCTCAAAATATTATGCAGTGAGCAAATCAAGAATAAAATAAAATATTTATAGTAAGGAGAAAATTGTAGGTTTTGATATTTATTGAGATGTTAAATTGAATTATTCTATTTTTAAAAACAATTTTAATAAGGAAGAAGACAATAAGACCACTTTGTTTTCAGAAATACATGTGGCTGTGAAGAGTATCCACTCTTGAGGACGATCAACAGGGTGCTGCGAGGATACCCTGAGGGACCACTTTGTAGCTTGTCTAAACTGAAGGCTCTTGAGCCACCTGGCTTCAAAGTAGACCCACCATGCCCACCAATAACTGGTAAGAATTAAAATTAGAATTTAATGTTAACTTGAAAAAAAGCTAGTTTATTATGAATAAAATTATTAATAATAACAGTTTTTTATGATAGGAGTATATACTGAATGTGAAATTTCAAAAGAGATAAAATTGAGTCAATTAATTCACATTTCTCTCAGCATCAACCTCCTCTTTTGAATCCTGGTATTCAAAACCTGGTATCAGCCACACAAATGATGTTCTAGAAAAAATCAAAAGAAAACACATCCATACATATAGCCATTTGGTCAATAAAACTTCAGTGTTAACAAGCATAAACAAATTTTCATGGAAACTGTTTATGGTGAGTGGAACACCTTTTAAGTAAACAAATTATCATGCAAGCATGGCATACAAGATTAAATTTGATAAGAGGCAGCTCAGATATATGTTTCACCGATTTTTACTTTTGTAAAGCTCAAAAATACACAAGTTTCTTCCTATTACGAATGTTATATCAAGCTATGAATTAGGAGGAGAGGTGTGGCCGAGTCACATTTTGAAATAATTTTTTTGGCCTAAACCTTCTAAAGACTGCTGTAACAAAGTCGAGCCAAGCTCATACAAAATCAAAACCTCAACACAACTTGGAGAACGGAGTGAGATAATGCTGTACCAAGATAGGTATGGATTAAAAATGGCGGAAAACAATAACGAGAATAAGTGATGGATGCAAGAGGATCAAAAATAATGAGTTGTGGAAAACATGGTTGATTCCATTAAAGGCTGTAATCTATTAGAGGGAGACATTCCTTGTGAGAATCTGGAAACAATCTAGCCAGGAAGGAAACTTAATTGGAAACCAAATAATGGGATATCGTGACCAAGGATAAAGGTCATTTGTCATCCATTTGAGCGGATACAACAATTTGGGATGACAAGAATAACCAATGTTATCAACCAATTCTTATAAAGAGTGTGGATTAGTGAGATAGAAATTTTATCAGTAATATTTATTACTTATTTAATAATGTTATTTTTGATAGGTGATAAGAAAGACTGTACCAAGTTCTACACTTGCCAATATGGTATTTTAATCCAGCAAGACTGTCCACCAGGACTCCATTTTAGCCAGGTATGTAAGACAATTCATAGATAAATAATTAAATTGCTTGAATATTATCTCCCAATCTTAAGATAGTCAAGTATGCCTTTGGTTAGGTTAATTATTATTTGAGGATATTTTTCCAATAGCGATAACTTTTAGATTTCATAATTGAATCCCAAAGTGAGACAAATCCTCTACTCTATTTATTTTAAATAAAGAGGCCAAATCATAAGTACCTTGCCAATGCACCTAATTACTTAAATTAAGTTATGTTCTATAATGTGGGAAAAACAAAAAAAATATACTATCTGATCTATATCATCATATCTATTATACTATCATATAATATCATATAATTATTATAAGAAATATATATTATTTTAATAATTCATGTTTATTTTTCCAAGGATATATTAAGTTTAATATAACACTTTTTAGACAATTTACTGTCCAAGAATTAAACTCTTATTTCAGACTGAAATACAGAGTTAAACATAGTATATGCAATAAATCATAATGATTAGTAATAATAATAATTGAGAATTTCCTAGCATATTCTAGAAAAGGATATTCTAGAAAAGTGAGATGAGTTAATTTTAACTGATATTTGGCAAATACTGTAATAATTAAAAGGAAATACGAATGGATCATGAAGATCAACAGCATGTTTCCAAAAGCTGAATAATTAATTAGAGAAAATAAAATAATGGTTTAATTCTTAGACTAAAAATTATATAAAAACGGTTATAATAGCTACTAATTTAATACTATTAACTAACTATATGTATAAGTGATTTACAAAGCAATTTTTTCCAGAAAACACTCATGTGTGATTGGCCAGAGAATGCTAAATGTGGATCAAATGAAATACCAGATGAAAACAATGAGAATGAACAAGGAGAAATGGTTTTGCCTCCCTCACTACAAGAAATAACGACAACTACAACAGCAGTTTCCATTATAGGTTTGTAAAACCAAAATGTTTATGGTATGAATTTCTTAAATTATTTTGTTCCAAATATCTTTATTATCATTAGATTATTTACCAAAAGTTTTGAAGTTTACTTATCTATACACCATATTAAATATGTTGTTTGCTTTATATTTTTAGAAAAACCAGCAGACACTGGAGAATTCAAAGTTGTTTGTTACTTCACAAACTGGGCCTGGTACCGCCAGGGTAAGGGCAAGTATTTGCCAGAAGATATCGACACATCATTATGCACACACATAATATATGCTTTTGCCGTCCTTGATTCGGAAAGGCTAGAAATTAAACCTCACGATCCCTGGGCAGATATTGATAACTGTAAGTGTTAAAATTATTATTTGAATTGTTTTTATTCAATTTATGGGCTGTTTGAATTATCTAATGGCTATTTTTGCTTTAGCCTTCTTTACTAAGGTGTCATCTTTAGTCGAGAAAGGTATAAAAGTCTTACTAGGGCTTGGTGGATGGAATGATTCTCTTGGAGATAAGTACAGCCGGTTAGTCAATAGTCCAGGAGCCAGAAGAAACTTTGTAAGGCAGGCCGTGGAGTTTGTCGACAAATATAACTTCCAGGGTCTTGATCTTGACTGGGAGTATCCTAAATGTTGGCAGGTGAGTAAACTATTTTAATTTTTTTGGCAGGATTGATTTTCATGAAATTAATCTTTTTCTAAATATCTATCTGCAACTCAGCACACAATAAACAAAATACACTAGAGGTCACAAAATACATCATAGAATAGTGTCACATTTTCCTAACATTACAAAAGAGCAATTTGAGCAGATATTGATCTCCTAATTAAAGTAGACTGTCTACAGTCTTTTAAAATAATAAACTTACAGTTATCTATACTCTGAATAAAGCAAAAACTGAAATACAAATGTATAAATAATGATGTTGAATCAGTAAAAAATGGCTATTATGTCCTATCCCTCCAATGTAAAGATATATCGCTTCTGTGAATGCAAAAGGTCGTATTTAACAATTTTACAGATTTATCCTATTTAAGCTAAAGGTTAAATTTAGTAGTCTACAACTGCTATAAGCAGTCTGCTAAATAAGAAAATAGCAGAGGGAAATAAAATATGAAATTATACTAATAAATCATAAAGAAATAATCGGTGTTTATGTTCTCCTATTAAAAAAACTCAATATTTACATACAACCTTTTTGCACTAATAGTAGTGATATATAAATATTTATATATTATAAAATATAAACACTGCTGACTTATCACCATTGATAAATCTAACCGAAGGTTAACAATCTAAACAGGTTGACTGTAACAAAGGACCAGAAACAGATAAAGATGGGTTTGCAGCACTGGTGACGGAGCTCAGTGAGGAATTTAAAAGACGAGGGTGGTTGTTGTCAGCAGCTGTCTCTCCTAGCAAAACTGTTATAAACCAAGGTAGGTCTCTGTCATCACTTCATCTTATGTAAAATTGAAAACATGATTTTTATATTTATTTAGATGAGATGAATTTTTTTAAATTTTTTCAAACTCTCATTGTTTTGAACATGAAGGCATTGAGCTAAAAACTTGAATCAGTATCCATAAAACTAAGAAACTTTCAATTTATGATAACACTCAACTTAACAAAAAATAAACTTACCTAGGAATAATGTTTGTGGAACAAATTAGACTGAAGTATTTGACTGCTTTACTGTTCCCTTTTGCCACTGAATTCAAAACTTTGAAAATTTCATCTTATATTGATAAAACACAGCATTAGATGAAAATAAATATTTTAGGAAAAAAAAATTCGAAGGGTTATAACAAGGAAATCAAATCATTATGGCTTATAAAGTTTCACATGAAAATCAGCAAATGGAATCATGACTAAGGATAAAGAGTGTGTTGAGAAATCATTATAAACAGGATCGTTATAACAACATTTTACTTAGTTAAAATTAGATTGAATAGACGATATAGAGACTCTATTTTAAAGGAAAGGCAGGCAAATGCTAAATTTGAGGGCAAGAATGATTAAGCCTTATAAATTTGTGTAATAAATTCTGTGTCTACTATATTCAACAGATTATAACAAATTTTTGTAATGTTTTTTGTTAAAACCCAGAGAAACTAAAAATTATCATTTCTTAGAACTTATCTTTGAACAACCATAATGACAATAATTTATTTCAAGTGAATTTATTTATATTTTTTATTGTAGATTTTTTTAGTTTTCCTACTATTACATTATATTTAAATCTTTACATCCTTTTGTTATTATCTGTACTGTGAAAATATGACCAAAACTTAGTAGTTATATCACATCAAAATAAATTGAAATATTTTGGATAACAGTACAATTATTATATTATAAATATATATTTCGCTGTTTAATTGTAGCCTATGATGTTCCTGTACTCGCGAGGCATCTTGACTGGATTTCGCTGATGGCATATGACTATCATGGCCACTGGGAAGGCAAGACGGGTCATGTTGCTCCTCTCTACTACAATGAAGGAGATGAGTTCCCTCATTTTAATGGGGTAAGATTTATTATTCATATTAAATTGTCAAGAACTATGTTAATATCAAAATTACAAAGAAATAAAAATGTATGGTTTTCTTGCATAGAACACTGCACATAAATTATTTTAAACAAAAATTATGTTGGCAGCTCCAAACAATCCTCTGTTCACTACACTATCCCTCTCAGATGATTCTTAATGCATAGCTACAAGGGAAGGATAATTCTCTGCCACATTTTATTCAGTTTAAAAGCATATGTACCATATAATGATTGATTATTTTATTTTCATCAAAATAAGTCATCTTTCATCATTAAAGTCATCTTATTAAATAAGTGCTGATAAACTAAACACTCTACTCCTGGGCGGTAAGCAGCATATTCACCACTGTGGAATCACTAGCAGTCCTTGAAGAAATATAAAATTATCAAAAATAATATTTCTAAATAAAGCTAAAATTTAATATTCTTCACAGCATGGAAAAGAATATAAAAAATAAATAACTTTAACAAAACTCACCAAAGCACCTCCTTGCATGACAGTTGGCCAAAAAACAGCACTACCTTATAAATTATTGAACCCAAGACTTTTCTATATTCTAGATATATACACTCTTGTTTTTTGATATTGTTGTATTATAATTTTAACCATCTTAATATTGTGTATGGTAGAGGTATATAAAGAGGAATAAAGAGAGAGAAGTGAGAGAAAGGGAAATTAAATGTTAAAAAAAAGGAAAAAAAAAACATGAACAATGAAAGAAAAAAAAAAAAAAAAAAAAAATATATATATATATATATATATATATATATATATATATATATATATATATATATATATATTACACTCATATAAACTAACCTCTTCTGTATATTTACATATAAGTTTATTTATTGTCCTAAGGATTAACGAGTATGCTGTGTGTATAGCAACCCAATATAATTGGGCAGCAATATAATTGGGGGGGGCAAACTTTTATATTTTATATGAAAATAAAGTGTTTCTCTCTTTAATAACACTTTATTTTTATTTCTAAAAATACTTTTGAATTAAAAGATTAAAAAGTATGTACTTAAGTTACTCTAATACACAGGCAAATAATTTTAAACAAACAACACTAATCTTATTTTTATTCTTGTGGTACAAATAATTTACTTGAAGATTAGTAAATTTATTATTATGTCATGAACCACTAGTAAGGAAAAGATTCAAATCAATCAAAGTAAGTAAAAGATTGAAATATTATCAGTGTAATGGTCTGAATGAGAATCCTGCTTCATAGTTTTGTCACTTTTGATTTTAATAGAGTAGAAAATAGTATGATTTCTTTAAAGTTCTAGCAAAGTCAATAAATTTGATATAACTTCTATCAACTCTTTTCAGAACTTTTCTGTAACCTATTGGCTGGATGAAGGGGTGCCTAGAAAGAAGCTTGTCCTTGGAATGCCGCTCTATGGTCAGAGCTTCACATTGAGAAACGAATCTGATACAGGGTTGCAAGCGCCCATCTCTGGCCCTGGAATGGCAGGGCAGTTTACGAGAGCAGCAGGTTTCTTAGCCTATTATGAGGTAAATTATTGTCATTACCATAGCGCTCTAAAGATAAGGAAGCAAATTTCCAAAAAATAAAACATTATACGAACTAAGAAATAGCAACCATCACAAAAAAACCTCAACTGCTCACTCCTCTAGCTAATCTTACAAACTAAAAGCACCTTCTTCCTCTACTTTTGGTTTTCAAAAATTTTACATGAAGTATCAATTTCAGTTAAAAAATTATAAAGCTCTATTAAAAATTTATAATTAGCGGAAACTTAAAAGTTTAAAAGTGATATTGTGGGGAGCTGTGTGTTCGAGTAGCTGCAGCTAAAAAAAAATGTAGACCAGAGATCTATTGATCTAAATAAACATATTAGAAGTTTTAAAAGAAGAGTATTTTTATATTTTTTTATATATCGTATTTATTTATATTTGTATTATACTAAACTTATGTATAATTAAATATGAGATTATTATTTTTTTAAATAAAGTGATAAGGCAAGTAGAATAAATAGTAAAACTTATTTGATCAGATAAGGCAAACCTAAGTTAATAAAAGCTGGAGGATTTAGTCCATTAGCCAGTTCCTATTAACAAGGGATTCTTTTGAATTATGAAATACTATTAAGATTTAAAAAATAATTAATTACTAAATTTAGATCAATATAAATATTAATTTTAATAACGAACTATACAAAATAATCTATATTTGCAGATATGTGATACAATATCCAGAGGAAATTGGGTAGTGAAACGCCATGAAACAGGTGCTATAGGTCCAATAGCATACAAAGGAAACCAATGGATAAGTTATGACGATGTAGAAGACATAAGAAGGAAGGTAATGACTTATTAAGCTGATATAATTTTTATTTTCTGATTATAATTTTATAGAGGAAGGGATCTGCAGAAATAAGATTTGTTCCTTTAATACAATGTCCTATGAATGATCTTAAGATGTATTACATCTTCATTAATAAATGTGTTTTTAAAATATATGGTTGTATCAAAAATAATGCTAATTTTTTAGAGTATTGTATATGCTGTAGGACAATAAGTGATATAGTTTCTTTTCAGACGAGTAAAATCTATGCAAATTGTCTCTCTGTATCACCATTATTTCTTGAATGATTTTGCTTCTTATTTATGCCTATGTACCAAATTGGTCACTCCCTACATTCTAGGGACTGTTCTATTGCCAAAAAACCTTTTTCTGCTGAATTTAGTGCCAAAGTAACATCAACCATTTTGATAAAAACAACACAAGTAAAATTTAAAAAACCATCCTGTACAATTACACTTGCTACAGTCTGTAATATGTTTTCCCCTTGTCATCTGGTTTGAAACTTTTCATTCCGATTACTCATTACCTCGTCTAAATGTGCACCCTCAAATGCTCCAAACCCCATATAAATATACCCTCCTCAAAAAGTTTGATGGCACAGCTTGCGCCATTAAACCCCCTTTGGTGCACACTGCTAATGCTTATTTAAAATTTATAATATTGAAATTTTGGCCAAATTTTTACCTCTGGTCAATTATAGTGTTAATAAATGAATGCATTTTATTCATCAAAATTTTATCCTATACAATTCTTTTTTAAAAAAAGTTTTTTGTACTTCATAAAAGATCTGCAATGAATCTGAGGGGGAAAAAAAGTCCTAGGAGGAATTTTATACTAATCCATATATTTAAAAATTGGTCATTTTCAAAAGTATTAAATTTAATTGTTCTATAATACTATAAAATCTATATTTTAAAGAACTTGAAAAAAGTAATTCATGTTACTTTTGTTTCATGTCATTTAAGTGAAATAATTTACAATATATGAATGTTTCAGTCACTATACGTGAAAGAACATCAACTAGGCGGAGGCATGGTATGGGCACTGGATTTGGATGACTTCAGGAACATTTGTGGTTGTGGTAAAAACCCTCTCTTGAGCACAATCAATCAGGAACTGAGAGGCCATCCTGGAAACACTAACAATTGCACATAAGGAAAGGGTCGAACATTTGAGGACTTCAATAAGTGTGATATAGGGATGAAGAAGTACTAGAAATTTCAGTCATCATTTAGTTTATATTCTGGATCTAGGAATATCGTTCATCGTAGTGAATTGAATAAAAAATTATATAAAATAGGCTGATAGTGTAAGGGCAAAGCTTTGAACACAAGTTTTATCACTAGTTAAAAAAATATTTTAAGCGAAAATAAAATATTTGTTTTGACTTTTGATAAATGCTTTTTGGGGGAAAAAAAATTATGAAGGTATCACAATTTTAAACCATGACATATTTCTTTTTTTTTTGTGATAGACTTTTATAATTCATCCAAATAGTGTATGCATAATTGTGATTATAGGTTTTTGTTTTTAATTATAATTTTAAGTAAACCAGTATGAATTTTATTTTTAAAAAATTTAGATTAGGTTATGAAATCAAATGTGAAATCCGTGCCATTCATTTATAAAATTGAGTGTATGATACAACTTTTGTTAGATTTTTTTAATATATTTATATTAAACTAAGAAATAAACTAGTTTTCATCAATTACCAAATCCTATCTTTCCATTATATCAAAAAGAATTAAGTCTAAGAAAGCTATCATTGGATGGCTATAATTTTGATTTTCAGGTATGTTTTATTTATTTACCCCCCTTAAAAATCTTAATTATTGACACCTTAGGGTACATTTTCAGACATATTAAAAAAAAAAAACTAAGAAGAAATTTTTTTTCTTTTAGTTTTTCCTCAGTAACTATCTTCAAGTGGACTTTAGACAAAAGTATGTTATTATTAATATTAAAGAACATTAAATTTTCTGAAAGATTTATAGTCAAAACAGCTACCGGATACAGGGGTCATTAAAATCTAATAAAATGGCTTAAAAACACTAAAGCTAAATATGTCAGTGGCTTTATTCCTAGAACTATTTTTTAGTGCTGCTTAGCTCGAAATAAATAATAACAGATCTTGTAAAGTTTAAATTTCCTGGAAGATTCAAACAAAACATTTGTTATGCTCCAGACACTAAGAAATATTAAAATAACAGTGACAGCCTAGAGATCAAAAAAATCACATTCTGTTCAAATTAGTGTTCCTGAATTTAATATTTTCAGTAATCCCATACCTATGCAATAAATACATATAAATTAACAATAAATGCAACTATTCTCATGGAGTATAGAAATACTTATGGAGCATACCGATCTCAATTTAAAAAATATAGGAGGGGAAATTATATGTAAATACAAACCACCATTGTTCTGGAAAGAAATACAGGAACAACCAGCATATGATAAAAATATCAACTGCCTATCTGAAATACAATATGGATTTAAAACAACTCACTACCCCCAATGGAAAATCACAGGAAGTCTTTAAATCAATGATGAAAGACTCCACAGGATTATTTAGAGTTTTGCAAAGGAAATAACTTTTACGAGTCCTAGGAGGAAAGCTTATAATCTGAAACTTAAGGTCTTCAAATATATTATTTTACATGTCTAGTACAAATAAGATTTCAATAATTGTTCTAAAAATTAATCATCATTTACTGAATGATGAACTATTAACATTACCTTCAGAGCAAATGCAGTGCAAGAAAGGAATTAGAGACTTAAGAGTTATTAGTGAAAATATTTATTTCTGCGAAGAAAAAAAATACTTTTTTTCATGTATTATAGTTACAAGAGGTGTCACAACCCATATCATGCAATTACCCATACTATCAAACAGTTTACAAGATGGAAGTGGTTGAAACTGTTGCTACTAATGCTGCAACTCATTAAAGAAACGTGGATTAAGGTTTAGAAAAGTAGAAAGATTTTAACTTTTTGAGAAATAAATTTTTCTACATGAAAAGAACATCGAATGCACAAGGTTTTGTTTTTGTAATTCAAAGAAATACTTAAGCAGAAATTGATATTTGTTGAAGAAATCATGGGAATGACAATTAGTCAAGATTTGCAATCTAGACATGGTTTATTAGACGCCGATGGTTCCATCCAAGCAAATGGATCATTAAGGTGACTCTCTTGTCAAGCAACATGAACCGAAAATAAAACACATCCCTAGTAGGGTTAGTCGTGACAATTAATAGTTCTGCATTCTTTGGAGATTGTCAACACAATTATTAATGATTGTTATGCTTAGCTCGGTTTTTACTGACAAAGGTATGACAGACACATTGCACGTTCTACACTTTTCTTAATAAAATATTTTTTATTTACATGCCGAATTATTTTTATATAAATTATGGAATAATAATATCAATCTAACAATAGGTAGTAAATACAAAATTTTGTTCTGGTTCTTAAATTAAAACTTTTTTGAAGAAAGAAAATATTTAATAACTTAATCAATATTTTGATACTCGCCCGTCAGTGATATACAGTCTTAATTTCTTCAACAGTTGCAAAGCAGTCTGTAGATAGCTTCGAAACCAGCTTTATCTAGATTTCTTTTTGCCAACATTAAAGGAGTCTCCCCATTGCTCTCCATCTCTCGAGGCGATGGCGAAGCACCTTTTTCCAGTAACATCTTCACCATGTCCTTTCGGTTATACCAGACAGCTTCATATAATGGCGTTTTACCATCCCTGTTTTTTCTATCCACTACACTGCCACTATCGATGAGGACTTTCGCTACCGCTATATGATTAAATTTAGCTGCTATATGAAGAGGAATCCATCCATTTATATCTGCTATATTGGAATCTGCACCTTTATTAATCAATAATTTAACAATTTCCAATTGGCCGTACCAAGTGGCTTCATATAAAGGAGTTTTGATATCATGATCTTCAGCGTTAGGGTCGGCGCCTTTGCTAAGAAGTTCCTTAACGACCTCGACCCTTGTATCTTGTACGGCTAAATGCAAGGCTGTATATCGCCATTTTCCTCTCTTGTCTACAGGAAAGCCAACTGATATCAGACTCCTTACTGCTTTTTCGTTATTGGATAAAGCTGCTAAATGCAAGAATGGCCAACCATCACGATTAATAATGTTGAGATCAGCTCCATGAGACATCAGTAATTTCATTATGTCAGTATTTCCTGCTTCGGCAGCTTTGTAAAAGGGTGTTAAATTTGCACTATTCTTTGAATCTACTGGCGAGCCATAATCCAAAATTAACTTGACAGCCTTCAATTTACCGTCAAACGCAGCCATATGTAGCAGAGTATTCCCAAAGCCATCTGCACTACAGATAGTGCTTAGCAATTTCCAGGTCAATACGTTTGCTGCTGCTATCTGATCGGCATCCAAAGCTTGGTACAAAGGCGTATCACCTTTATCGTTTCTGAAATTTATTCCTGCTCCAAGGTGGATGAGCCTATTCAACGAAAGAAGATTGCCTTTTGAAGCCGCGATGTGGACAGGAGTATCTCCTGAACTGGTTCTTACATTTACATTTGCACCGTTTAGAACTAAAGTTTCTATTATATCTGCATTGTTATTGTGTGCTGAGAGAAGTAATGGTGTTAATCCATCGCCATTCCTCATTTCTATTTTAGAGCCAAAACTCAGTAAAATTTTAACAGCATTTAGCCTGTTCTGGATAGTTGCTAAATGAAGTAAGGACATGCCGTTGTCTAATTTTGAGTTTAGATCAGCCCCTCTTTCTATCAGCGTTATAATCATGTCGGTGTTATTGCTCAAAATGGCCGAATACACTGGAGTCCTTCCTTCCAAATCTTTACTATCGATATCCCCTCCCAAATCGATAATTTTTTTTACTATCTGAATGTTACCCTTCTTGATAGCTAAATGTAAAAGTGAATTTTTGGAGACTGTTTTGTTGTTAAACTTGGCTCCATAATACAATAACGTACCAAACGTTAAGTGACTCCCAGACTCGACTGACTTGTATAGAGGAGTTTTGTTGTATTTATCTTGCGCATTCACATCAGATTTGGCTTTGAGAAGTTGAAGTGTAGCCTCCAAATCCGCAGACTCTACAGCGAAATGGAGCAAAGTTTCGTTGTCTCGATTCCTGTCATTGGCAACTGCCTCGGTTTTGTAAATGTTGCTTAGGCTTCCTTTAGCCATCAACAACTTGGTAATATTTGTATTTCCATTTTGCCAAACTTCTTTGGTTGCCTCGGGACCGATCTTGAATATATCGAAACCTGATTCAATTAGCCATGTAACAAATTCAATATCGCCTCTAATACACGCATCTTTAAATATAACATTAGTTTTATCAAAAACTAGTATTTTCTGTAGAATATATTTCGGAATGGACATTCCTTCATTAGATTTAGCCGCAATAAACTTGAGTGCAATATAAAGCTTTTCTGTTGGTATTAAAAAATTACTATCGAACCATTCATTAGAAAATTTTTTTTCCTCTGAAGACATTGTGCTTAAGACTGTAATTAATATATCAGACATCATGACATCATCTTCAACAAATGAATGGAGAAGGAGCAAAAAGGAATATTGACCAAAATTCATCTCTGAAATGATCAAGTCCCCTCTTTTGCCTACTGACGAGTCGAAAATAAACTTGGCAGCTTTTGTTATTCTTTCCCTAAGGATACTTTCAACTTTATTACATAGGTCATGATGAACTGCTACACCATCCAGGAGAAATGAATCACCGTTCAGGGTTAAGGACACATCATTTGGCATCTGCAAGGAAACAAAATTATAATCATCATGACAGCTCTATGACCAATATATCTGTATATTAAGTTAGAATACAAAATATATTTAAAAATCATAAAAAACTATTTAAAAAAATTGAAAGGACAATGATTAGAACATCATAGAAAAGTTTTATAAAAATCGTTAGAGCCGTTTTCGCGCTACAGTCTATAGAAAAACATGTTTTTCATTTATTGCGCGTAAGCTATTGCGCATGGAGTAACGAATTTCTGTCACAGGCATCAGTAGTCAAAACCCTACAAAATAAAAAAAGAAACAACAAAATCGGTTCAGTAATTCCCGAGAAAATCTTGGCACAGACAGACAGGTCAATGGCTAAAAATGTGTTTTTCGGACTCAGAGGACTGTGAAACGTATAGATCCGTCGAAAGCCGCATGTCGGAAATTTGACCCGATTGCAATACTTTCCTTACCTAGTCTAGTATAGGTAGGAAAGTAAAAATCTAGTTCGGACGACACACAACTTTCACTTACCCCTCTACTTTGAACAGAAATTATTTTCTGGCAATGTTGGACTATTTTTTAAACATGCGTTAAAACATTTTAAACGGAGCTAAATCTTAAAGCTTAAGACCAACAAATCATTAAGACCATTAAAAATTACAAAAATTCTATTGATTACATCGATGGTAGGCAATAAAAATCTAGTTTTATCAACCACATAACTTCAGTCTCTGAGCCTTTCAATAGACAGAATGACTAACTTCCAATTTCAAAATTTTTGAGTAAAATAATTTTAGTGATATTTCTCGTTGGAAAAGTTATATTTATACAGATAGTGAGCAAGTTGATTCCAGAGTAGGTGATTGCAATCTTGAAATATAAAACTGTGAATAAAGGTATGAATTTTGACACTAGAAACGGCACTAAAATTAATAATAAAGAATGTTGAAATTGGAATTAGTCATTCTGACAACCGAAAGGTTCATATATGCCTAGAGAGATTTGAAAGTATATCTGAATATTCAACCTATAAATGATTATGGATCTTAGGACAATTAATAAACTGTTGTTTTCCATTGTAAAGTTTACTTGGTCTGGACGAAGTAAAGGAGGTTTATTATGGTGAAAACCACTTTATTTTCGATTGCTACTGAAGTTGCACATTAAGACTATCTTCACTTTGAAAGAGATTATAGAGAGGTCTATCGAGCATGGAAAAAAGCTCTCCTTCTGTTTAGAAGAATATAAATATATTCTTTAGATGTTTTATTTCAGCACGTTTTGCGTTATCGTTGGCCGTTTAATTACAAACGACGCTTGATTTTCAACTTGAAAATTTTATTGTTATAAAAATAGAATTTACTGGTGGTGTGTATTACCTAAGCCAATTATTTTTTAATATTTGTTCATGTTTTATTATTCTCTGACTATCCACCTTTAATAAAAGGTCAACTATGACGAAATTGAGCCAAATGCTGATTCTCAGTGACCAAAAAACTAACTAAAGTCAAAGTGGTCAGTCCGCCATTTTGGACGCCATCTTGGGACAGTTCGTTAATTTTTTTTGTGGCATTGGCTTTTTTTTTTATAGAGTTACAAGGGACACGATATGCAATTTATAGGGATGTGGGAGGGAGGGGGGGGGGGGGGAGAGGGAGAGGAGCATGGTAGAGGGATCTTGCCCACTGACTATTTTCCTGTTCCGCCCTTCTTCCTCAAGAAAAAATATAACTAGCTATGCACTATAAACTATGTTTCTTACTCCTTCCTAATCATACTAAACAGATGATAATTATGCCTTCTACATATCTATATAAATAAAATAAAGATTTTGTCAGTAAATTGAGTAGAATCTACCTGTTTTATGATATCTTTCCGTTTCATACGTTGCAGACAACAAATCCACTTTTAACAAAAATTTTGTCGGTCTATATATCCGTATTGTAACGAAATTTTGTCAGCAGTAAGCTCAGCAATGGTTCATTGTAGACTTTTGAAAGTTTAGCATTATATTAAGGTTTGCTTGACTTAAAACATAGGCTTTAAATGATTCAATGTCCAATGATATTTTGGTTATTTTGCTACCGATAAACTCAGCTGAGTTTAAAGAAGTGGATAGACTACAACTCTTTTTGATTTATTAATCGACTTAACAATCCGCTTCATCATAAATGAAAATTAAACACTTAATAAATTTTAATGGATCGGTGGTGGTCAGTTTAGTTGTGTAGTATCAAACAAGTAGCATAATAACAAAGTTTTTGTGAAAACTTGACTTCCATAAGCCCCGGCCATAATACATTTCAAAACAACCCCCCTCCTCCCTCCAGGCCCAATTTTATGAAATTGAATTTGGACTCTCCTCCCCCCATAATACAAAATCCATCTCAAAAAAAGGTTCTCAAATTTTAACTATACACCCGTCAACGATGGGTACATCAGCTAGTTAATAAATAATTGTTTTAAATAGCTATGATTTTCGTCTTCTTTTTTTTTCATTAAATGTTTACCTCTATTTCTCTATGCACACTCTCCCAGAGGCTATGCGCCGCACTATGTTCTATTGGTTCCGTTATTTACACCATGTGGGCGTTTTATCTATACCTTTTACAGTTCAATCAATAACCGATAAATCCAGAATGTGTTTTTTCTAACAGCAGTTGTAAGTTAGGGATAATAATTTCTACAAAACAATTTGTCCAGTAGCAAGGCCAAAAAAAAATTGAAAAGGAATTAACCAAAGCGGAATGCGGATAGAAATACCACTATTTTCAAAAGTATTACAGATTCATTATCTTTTTTATTTTTGAAGCGCTCCTATACCCGTGGCACACAGTGGTCCATCCCAGTCTAACGGGACAAAAGTCAAAATATCGATAGTGAATATTGTAATGGTAAATGGCATAAAATATTTGTCTATATATCGGTGTAATTAGAAACAGAAGAATTAATAAAAAAAAAAACATATAATATACATATAAAATTGACGGCAAACATCGGAAATGGAGAGCCAGTTTTATTAATAACGGGCACTGGATTTATTGTCAGAGTGAGCAAGACCTCCAATCGTTCACCTCCCCTCCCCCTCCCCTTACATCCCTATAAATTGCATATCGTTCTGTTCCTTGTAACTATTTATTTTAAAAAAAGCCAATGTTCTCACAAAAAAAAAGTGAACGCACTGCCCCAATTTTTTGGGGATCCCCTGCTCGATTAAAATATTATATAGTTTCTGGCGGTCAATAGAATCGTAAGTCTTTTTGAAATCAATATATAGCTGGTGGACAACACCATTTAACTTTAATCTAAACTCCAGCTAGAGTTTATAAAATACATTTTTTTGTTCAAAAGATATGGGAGAACTAGAAATTTCCTGGAGGATGGATGGAATCCATTCTTATTCCGATTCACGAAAAGGATCTGAGGACGGTTTGTAATAACTATCAAGGAATTTCCCTCTTCCCAATATGTTATAAAATATTCACGTTAATCTTAACTAATCGAGTCACGGAATATACCAAGAAAATTATCGGAGACTACCAATGTGGGTTTAGGAGAAACCGTTCGACTATTGATCAAATATTTTCTTTACGACAAATATTAGAGAAAAAATTAGAGTACAACGGTATTGTCCACCAGCTGTATATTGATTTCAAAAAGTCTTATGATTCTATTGACTGCCAGAAACTATATAATATTCTAATCGAGCAGGGGATCCCCAAAACATTAGTGAATCTAGTTAGGATGTGCTTGACGGAAACACTCAATAAAGTTAGAATCGGTTATCATTTATCCGAGAAATTTGAGGTTCGTTCGGGCTTAAACCAAGGTGATTCTCTTTCACCTGTGCTACTTAATTTGGCATTAGAATATGCCATTAGAGAGGTGATACATACCGAAAAAGGTTTGAACCTGGGTGAAACAATATCCGTGCTTGGGTATGCTGATGATTTGGTACTGGTTAAACGAAGATATGGAAACAATGAAACTAAATACAACAACGTTGATGGAAGCTAGTAAAGAACTAGGACTCGAGATAAATACGGATAAAACAAAATATATGGTCAGCTGCAAAAACAGCGACAATTTCGATGATATCGATATAGAAGGGAATGTGTTTGAACACGTACAGAATTTTAGGTATCTAGGGTCTACGATAACTAGAAAAAACGAAATTGAACAGGATTCCCGAAGGTGGGAAATGCTTGTTATTTTTCTTTGTCAAAATTACTTAGTTCTCGCCTCCTGTCCCGAAATTTAAAAATTAGAATTTACAAAACCATTGTTAAGGCCACTCACTATTATTCATAATTCATTGAGTCAAATAGCGCATAACTGTGCCGCCATCTATTGGCCATTATGACAGTGCCATCTACTGGCAAGCTGAAGAAGATAAGCAACTAGCCCTGCCTGGTGACCTGGGACCAGAAGGGCCAAAGTACAACACCAGTGCCAGTCTGAGACTGCCTACAAAATGGTCTCCATGACCATGCACGTTAAAATGTCTAGCTATACCAGCATGAAGAAGTGGCCGGAAGAGGCAGCAGGGATACCAGCTACTAGTGCAGCATTAGAAGATGCCAGACCACAATACTCACTCAAATGAAACAGAAGCCAGTCCCTCGATGGAAGCCTTCAACCAGCCAGAATCCACATTCATCCGGTCAGCCCATATTAACAAACAGCTCACTAACACAATAATCAAAATGTATATCTTGGTACCCTCCATCAATCTCTGTTTATTTCAATCTATTTTTTTATCAATATATATTTTATGTTAATCTCATTTTCTCATTTCACATTCCGCATGAACACTCCCTTTTGACCAAATAATTAGCATCTAGGTTTGATTCCCCCTACTTCGGGATTAGGGAAGGTCTGATGCCCCAAACAACTACGGTTACCAAATACGGTTCTTTATGGATGCGAAACGTGGCCGCTTACATTAAGGGATGAGCAACGTCTTAAAGCTTTTGAAAATAAAGTATTGCGCAGAATATTCGGACCGAAAAAGGACGAGTCAACCGAAGAATTTAGGCGGTTAAACAACGTTGAATTGCATGAACTGTATCCGGTTAATATCATTGAGGCGACTAAGTTGGGGCGAATAAAATGGGTATGTAAAATCGCTGTGCTTAGTAACGGAAGAATTCCTAAAAATTAATATGGGCTATACCGTCTGGCAAGCGTCCGAAGGGTAGACCAAAGGCGGAAGTGCGTAGATTACGTTAAGGCTAATTTGGCGACGTTGGGTTTAGATGGGAGCCCGGTGGATGGAAGAATGTGGACATCGATTGGTGGTATCGGCATCGAACCTTCGGGTTCACTAAGCCTTATTATTATTACATACTTCATTTATTTTTTAAAATTTTATACTTAAATAACACTTCTTAATTGTGTATATATATATATATATTTTTTAATAAAATGTGATATTTTAGTTTACGATGTAAACTACCTCGTGAAATTTATCTTTTTATGAGGTACAAAAACATCCCTGATATTAAATATACTTTTTCTAACAAGTTTGAACAAAAACGATTTAATTTCTTTGTATCAACTTTTGCCCGCTAGATTGCTCATACAGACCACTGTGATTTTTTTGACGACTCTGATTTCAGGCATATCTTATAACGTAATTTCAGTTTGGCACTAGCGGATCCAGGATTAGATTTTGGGAGGGAGTAGGCTTCAGTCCAAAAGCATTTTTTAAAAATATATATAACGATAATTACTTTGGAACAAAAAGAAAAAAACATGGTGCTTAAGTGATTCTTAAAATCCTATTAAATGTAATTAAACGAACAATAATACTTCTGGAAATAATTTTTTTAATAAGACATGGTTATATTTTACTATCTTGGGGAACTTCAGTCCGAAAATCTCTCTCCTCACCGGAAATCCGCCTGTGATATTTAGTAAAACTTTTATAATGCTGTGTTAAAAGTAGCGTGAATATATGTTTGAAATGTACGGAACTTAAATTTTCCAATCTCATTAGTGAAACTTTTCTTTTTTTAGCTAGTTTGTTCAAACACACTTTTGAGGAACTTGTCAGTATCCCCACCACCTTAAAACGTTATATTCTGTTGTAAACTCGGATTCAAATTTTTTCGTAATCGAATTTTTTTTTATTTACAACGATAATTACTTTGGCAGATAAAGAAACAAACTAACTACCTATATAAAATTATGTTTAGATGATTCGTGAGGTTCTAGTAAATGTAATTTAATGAACAATAATATTTTCAGAGATAATTTTTTTGATAAGACATGGTTATAATTTGCCATCAGGGGCGTCAGCCCGAAAGATCTCTCCCTCCCGTAGATCTACCTATGATACATCATAAATGTATATATATATCATTAATGTATATGATTAATGGAGATAATAACTGTGAATATTCCATACAATAACAATACTCACTATATGCTGCCCTGATGCCATCCATACCCTGGAAATTAATATTGTAACAAGAGCAGAAGCGGCCAAACCCAGCATTTTGTAGAAGATTGTCAAACGTTAATATGTAAATATTCATTCTATTGCTCCTTCGCTGGTTTTCCCCATCAGATAAACAATCCACTGAGGTCAGAGTTGCCAACGACATCGTTAAAAATATATTTTTTTTTGTGTTAGTTATCCTTATACTGACTGGGAAGCTATTATAAAACCATTAAAGCAACGCCATCTATCTACCTTGCTTAAGTACTACACCATTTATCATTTTTGTATTGTTATTTATTTTCTGGTTTATCCTGTTGGTTAGCTTAACTAAATAAAGATCAGATATGTAAAACTTGTTAATTATAATCACCAATATTTAATAAGGCGAAATTCATAAACTTAAATAATTCTAAAAAAGTTATATATTTTCATTTCCCGCCTTAGGAAAGGGCCACCTGGATGCACGCTGATTCTTAGGAATTAAAAATCAATCTGCAAATTATATGTTAATAATTAATTTCAGCTTATTAATGAAGTAACTGAATTAGTAATATAAAACAGATTAAGATATAAATTTAAGTTTTTGAGAGGGAAGACGTCATCGCCCGGGTGTGTCAAATGTCAAAGACTGGCACCGGATATTTCTTTTAATACAACCCTTATCTCCTCGTGTACCCTGGCTATTGTCGCATATAATTTGTTTGAAAATTAATAGTAACAGTAATAGGAAATGCTATGTTCTTATTAACCCGATAAAAAAAGAAGTAAGTAACATTTACTAATTTACAAGTAAGACATTTTCATCTAATAGAATGCAACAAATAGAAACAATAAAAAAATCTGGTGTGTCCACTCACACGACTACCTATTTCAGAAACGTTTTTATATCTTTACATATCGCCTTCAAGAACCAAAAACAAATTGAATTAGATTTATTTTAATAAAAATCGATCAAAGAAAAGATTTAAGTTCGATTTATTCGATAAATTAAAGCAATGCAAAAAAGTTAAGGTAGATCAGTGTAAAAATTTCAATACCCTTTAATATTGCTGTTTCTGTTAAAAGTAGAACAAATAATGAAGCTTAGGTGATGCCGGCAACAGATTTTCTTACTTTCACTAAGTTATCGTCTTTCTCTCATTCACCCCATTCTGACACCAATATATGAATCCGTAATCGTACATTGGAAATTGAATAGCTGTAACTTCGTAAATAGTTATCCGAAATAAACGATTTTTATACATTTTTGTGTCACATTTCAAATTTAAAAATGGGTCACAGGCATCAGTAGTCAAAACTCCATAAAATAAAAAAAGAAGCAACAAAATCGGTTCAGTAGTTCCCGAGAAAATCTTAAAGCTAAAAAGCTAAAAATGCGTTTTTCAAAATCAGGGGGCTCTGAAAAGTATAGATCCGTCAAAAACCGCATATCGGAAATTTGACCCGATTGCAATATTTTCCTTATCTAGCATAGGTAGGAAAGTAATAAATTAAAATAGAAAATAGAATATGTTGTATCATAGCTAATACTGGTTCGATTCCAGAAGAAAAACATGTTTTTCATTTATTGCGCAGCAGCTATTGCGTATGGTGCATCCAATTTATGTCATAGGCATCAGTAGTAAAAACCCTACAAAATAAAAAAAAGAAGCAACAAAATCGGTTCAGTAGTTCCCGAGAAAATCTTGGCACAGACAGACAGACCAATTGCTGAAAATGTGGTTTTCAAAATCAGGGGGCTCTGAAAAGTACAGATCCGTAAAAAACCGCATATCGGAAATTTGACAGGATTGCAATATTTTCCTTGCCTAGCATAGGTAGGAAAGTAATAAATTAAAATATAAAATAGAATAGTTATGATTTTGGTGTATAATTAGAATAGTAAGAATAAGGATAAGAATAGTAAGAATCAATATATTATTGATAACGAAGAGAAAATAAAACATTAATTAATTAATTAAGAACTTACTGTAAGGGCCAGTTTAAATGTCGGTGATCATACAAAAAGTCGCCTATAGATAGCTGCCTGCGATATTTCTGGCCAGCTATTATGTGGTTGGATGGCATTTCCTAAAAGAAAACAAAATCAGAAAATGTAGAAATTCTAGTTATAGCTAGTTTTAAATGAAATTAATGCTTCCTATGGACACTAAGGAACCACTAGCGGATCCAGGATTTAATTTTGGAGGGGGGCTTCAGCCCGAAAGCTTTTTTTTTTCATAAAAGTAACGATAATTACTTTGGAAAATACGAAACTAAGTACCTATACGAACTGGTGTTTAAGTGATTCCTAAAGCCCTTTTAAATGTAATTACACGAATAATTATACTTTAAGAGATAATTTTTTAGTATTTTTTCCGATAAAACATGGTTATATTTTACCATTTTGGGGGAGGGGCTTCAGCCTGAAAGCCCTCCCCCGTAGATCCGCCCGTGTAAGGAACTATGTCTTGGTTCTGATTTCTTCAACGCCAAATCGAAGTTGAAAAAAAGCATATTAGAAATTTAATGCGACGTTTTTATTTTTAAAATAACAATAAAGTTAATTTTTGATAAATTTAGTGAAATAATAGAAATATTTTGAATAAAAAAAAAAAATTGAGACGAAAAATGAAATATACTTATTTGAAAACTTAAAAGTATCTTAATTTAAATTTTCCAAATTTAACTTTGAGTTTACTCAAAACATATGCAATGGTTCTCTTCTGTTTTTGAGCCTTCTTCTTTGCCCAAAAGTAGGTAAAAAATAGCCAGTTCTGCGACTTTTATAGAAAAATTAAAATATAAATGGAAAAAAAGTATTTGTACAGTAAGCGCCATTGATGTGAAATAATTAAAAATCATGTTTACCTAAAATTATTGTGGCAATGAAGGAATTAGGGTTCAAAGTCTTAGTTTTAATGATATTGGTCATAGTGGAAATGATTTCAATACGTTTGGCAACGTTACAATTTACCCATAAATATTTTCGTTTTTATATTCATAACCGATGTAAGTGTTCATAACCTATGTAAGTAAAATGTACAGTAATTTCCTATAAACTGATTATATGCATTTTCGTGAGTTAAAACTGAAAAGTGACCGAAAAAATATCAGAAATGAATCTTTAAATTCATTTATTAATCCGTATTATTTATGTACTCTTTTAAACACCTAGTTTTTGAGTAACATTCCTGCTTCTTTATCTACTGATTCCAGAGATGAATGGTTCATTATCCTCCATAGAATAGAATATAGAGAGGGAACAGTAGCCTGTATTTTTAAAAATTAATTTCTTTCAAAAAGTTGAAATACAAACAACCAACCTGTCACTGTTAACCAATTTTCCAAAAATGTATTGCTGTTTTTTTTTAATCGGAAGAGGGGAAGGGTAGCTGCCCCACCTTGCCCTCCCCTAGATACTCTCTATACTCCCTCCCATATCATTATTATTGTCAACTTCAAATCTGATATACACTACTTATTCATCAATATTGGCTGCCTGGAAGACCTAGACCAATATGTACACGGTCCAACATACCCATGACTGCTTAAAACTGATTGACTGCATAATCGAACTGATTGGTTGTAGATGATTGATAGATACTAATCTCCAATATCATTTAACAAATTTATAATAAGCCTTAATAAGTTATTTTATTATAATAAGCTATAATATAAAATTACCATAGCCCTTGCATCCCTGAAATATTTATTTATTTAAAACAAATATAACATTTCTGTAATGTACTTCAGAATCTTGATGAAACATTCTTTATTCTAGACATTTAACTTAAGAAATTCCAAGATCATTTTTTACCAAAATGAGCTTTGTTGTGTGCTTTAAAAAAATGTATACATTTATCAAGGATGCAGGGGTGCCCATCCCCCCCAAGGTTGAATACCCTCTCCCTCTCTCAAGACATTTTATTGCTCATTTTTCTTTATACAGAGCTAGGGAAAGTAGAATTATAAAAATCGCAGATCATACACAATTAAAGTTGCTGAAGTCTGTTTTATCCTTTTTTGTTTTATCCTTATCTCTTATTCTGTAACTTTTCATTCCGAAAATTCATATGTATTAAAATTTGCCGTCCTCAAAAATTTTGATGGCGCAAGTTGCGGCCCCAGGGCCCCAGGGCCCCTTCTGGACCCTCATGCATGGACGTTCAACATTTAAAAATTAAACTAATTGATACTAGTATTAAAGAAACCTTTGGATTTTTCCTGATCATTATGCTCAACAATTTTTGTTCAATTTAGATCTACACCTTAACAAAAAAGAAAACAACTTACATGCGTCTTTCTTGCACCAAGTTTCTGTTATTAAGAAATATTAATAATTTGATAAAATAATTCAATATACATAATTTTGTTCGATTTAACTAACTATTTTTCTTCTATAATTTTTCTATTGTAATGACATAAAAGAGTTTGAATTATTTTTATGCCTTTGAAGAAATAAATACATCATTTAATAAATAATTACATTTATTTTTCCGTTCTTATTATTATTACTACACTTTATTATTTGTATTATATTTATTATAATATTTACTACCACCTTTTTTTCTTTCATTTTTTTATATTACTTAATAGCACTTATAGACCAATATATTTTGTTGTTTTTCCTATAGCTTTTTATTTACTTACTATTTCCATTAACTCATTATTCTAGTTGTCAGAAAATAACCAAAAGTTTTACACAAAAATTCATCTCCATGAACATAATCAAGGTTATTTCAACACAGAGTTGAGCTTTGCAGCTCCATTAACCCCTCCTTCAGTCAAAAAATAAATAAACATCATTACAATTTACGCTACCTTTTTTCTTGATCAAGAATCCAATGACATGATCAGAAAACTATAGAAATAAAACAAATCACAAAGACAGTAATTCAATAAAAGGCAACTGAAAATATTTACAAATTAAAAGTTTACGTAACAATAAATGGCGTTAAGACATAGCATTAAATTGCAAATTATTTTAAACCGAATATAAATTACTATTACTTATTAATTTATAATTTAAATGTAAATATTAGAGTGTTAAGTGTCAAATAAATCATTTTTATGACCATTTTTTTTCTTAATTTTATTAAATCTCTAAAAGTTCTATGCAATAAAAATTAAAAAAAACACAAAGGTAACAGATTTTTTTTTATTTCAATGTAATATATTTTTTATTTTTCAGGATATAATATTTCACAGTAAATATAATTATTTTAAACTAATACATAAATATGTCCAAATACAAAATAAACTGGGAAAACCATCAACATATCCTTGACTGGAAAG